CGGGTTTGTTCACGGGAGGCGACATGGGTGGAGAAATGGGTGGAGGGACCATTGGAGTTGTGAACATGACTCCGTATGATGGTTTCTTGGAGGATGTTTGCGCTCATTGGCACCTTTCTGAAGGTAGGGATGGCAGGCAGAAAGTCCGTACCTTGAGTGTTGGCTTTGATCTTGAAGCCTTGGCCTACTCAGAGAAGGTTCTTGGGATGGGATTCATGGAGGCGGGGAAGCTTCATCATGCTGTGCGATTGTGTTTTTCTTCTGTTCTCCTTTCACCTTTTTCTAGAGACTTCAATCAATAAACATTGCCAGGAGTGGAAAACTGGCAGACATTGCATGCCCACAGCGGTCAGCTACAATCCTGATCCTCCGTCCGATGCCTCTCATAGCTCCATTGATTTGAGCGACTTCCCCATGCGAGTCATTGAAGTGAAGGTAGACAGTCTTGAGAAAGGGTTCAAGAAGTACAAGTTTCAGCTTCCGAATGCAATCCGGCTCATGTACCACAATCATCCACTCTTTGGACCAGACTGGGCTCGTGCGATTCAGGACTTTGATGGCAGGTTTCTTGTCAGATTGTTGTTTTTGCAGTAGGCTCTTGTGTGAGGAAACATTTAAGAAGTGTTTGTCTCGGTTTGTTGGTGCATGCGTTCCAAGGTTCGGTAGTTCTGCTGTGATCAGCAACACGATGGTTCCAGCTGAGGGGACCCCAGAAAAGGAAAGGAAGGAATGGGAGAACGAGCCAACCGATCTGGACAGCATGCTCAGTCTGTATGCAGTAGATGCCAAATTTGCTGGTCGAACTCCAGGCACTACTTTGTACCTTACATCGGCTCAGCGAAAAGATGGGGTGGAGACCAACATCCAGCCAGACCAGTCAAAAAAACTGTTCTTGGCAGCTTGACAGCTTGACAATTTCTTGCTTTAAAAGACCATCTTCAGCAGCACGTTTAATTTCACCAGGGTCATTTCGCACCTGACCTACAGTTTGTTGAGGTTGCACATTGTGCAGCCACGATTGATCGATCTGGTTTCCAACTCGCCCACGGTAAATCATCTTTCTTGAAGCCCGAAAAGCTGGCCAAGCTGAAACGAGATGGAGGAGGCAAGGGTCTTTTGGAATATGTTACATGTTGGACATGTTTGCTTTTTGACACATTGACAAATGAACTTTTTGAGTGGCTGCAAGCATAGCATGTTTTGAATTCAGCACTAGCTGCGCTGTCGTGGCTCAGAACGATTCACCTTTGTCCTTCAATTGTTTCTGTGTTGCTTGAAACTTCCTTGAGAAGTTTGACGATGCTTGGAGACTTTGCGAACAGACTTGCGCAGATGGGGATGGATGAGGACCTTTGTGCATGCACTGAGGGTCAAACAGATTGTTTTATTTTTCGACTCCTATTCTCTCCAAAACATTTGAGACCAGTGGAGCTGTGATAACAAAGCGTGATGTGTCTTTTTTTATGCTGGATTGCCTTTGTCCACTCACTAGTCTCAGAGTTCCACAGGACCTTGAGCGTTTCTTGCAAGAATCTCCGTCTGCAACATTGACGCCATCACCACCAGTCGTCAGACCTCAGGCCTTGGGCTTAGTTTACACCTCCATCCGTCCGCTACTAGTACCACACCTCTTTGCTCACTATACTATGCCGCCATCATTTCTTTAAGTCTAAGGTTCTTCCCAACAGGAGGGAGTCAACAGAAGTATCCAACCCACAAGCCGCACTTGAAGCTGCTTCAAACAAGACGGACGCATCACCGTGTGACGGTGCTGCAAGTCAGGATCCTGATGGCCTTGCTCAGTTGGCCATGGAGGCAGCTAGAACAGCTGAGAAGTTGAAGAGTTCAGGAAAGACAATAAGCAAAGCTGAGGAACCACAGGCGAGGCCCTAAAACCCACAAACATATTCTTTTGGGTGTGCACCATCTCAGGCATTTTTTCAAGATCTGACAGCTCTTTGACTCTCAACAAGTATTGCTTCATCCTCTGTTTGGCACTGTGTTGATACGTTCGTTTGTCAGGAGAAGGGCAAGAAAGAGGAACCACAGGCCAAGAAAAGCCAGTCCAGTGCCATGAGACCAGACGAAGAACACAAGAAAAGCATTGAGACCAAGGGCGTGAAGTCCAAGAACGAGACACCTAAGGAACAAACAGTTGAGACCAAGCCTGAGAAGACCAAGGCAGCGGTTCAGGCAAAGTCCAACGACATGGCAAGAGAGCCAGCAGGCTTGAGTGACAATGACAAGTATTTGAAGGACCAGGAAAACCAGGGGGACCAGAGGGATCAAAGGAAAATCGACAAGGGTGTGAGAGGAAGGAAATTTGTGGACGATGTGGCCTATATGGAGGAATTGAAGAACAGGCCCAGGGTTCTGGTTCCGGCACCAGAACGTGCCCAGCGAAAGGACAACCAGAAGCTTGAGAATGCCAACAAAGGCACTTCACTAACATGCAGGGAGGCTGTGCGAGCCAACCTCAGAAGGCTTGGACACATTGAAGACTCTTCAGTGGATGCTGGTTCGAGGGCAAAAAACAAAGATCCTGAATCTAGAGCCAAATCCACAAAGAGGGGTTTGTCAGTTCCAGCAGCTGGTTCGAATGATGCTTGTGAGTCAGAGCCCAAGAGGAGGCAAAAGAAAGCTGACAAATCAACGGAGCCCAAGAAGACAGGAAAAGCAAAGTCTGATTCAGCCACCAAGGGCGATGGCAATGAGCATGTTCAAGCGACTGCAGCGTCAGGCGACAAAGAGGATGCCGCCAAGCCACCTGCAGCAAAGCGTTCGACACGCGCCAAGAGGCAGAGGGATGTCAAAGAGAGCATTGAGAGCATGGCCCCCGAGCCATCGGCAGAGAAGAAGTCGAGATCCACCAAGAAGCCGAAGGCTGCCAAGGAGGAGGACGCCAATGGGGCTGGAAATCCTCCAGTTCCCGAGGCCAAGCAAGGGCGAAAGAGAGCTGCTGACAAGTCTGAGAAATCAGATCCCGATGCGGTCCCCCTCGCATCGAACGGGCTTCAGCAGGCCATGTTCAAGTTTGTGGAGGAGCAGAAAGCTGTGCTCAGAGAGGCACATCCTGAGAAGAGCAAGACCGAGATCCGCAAGATGGCTCTTGAGATGCTGGAACCTCAGCCAACTTCCTTTCTCTGCAAGACTGTTCACTGTTTCGTCTTTGTCTTGTCATCTCAGGTGGAAGGGGAGCCCCGTGCGACTCCATGCGGCCAGCAAGCTCGATGTAGTTCAGTTGAGACGTCGTAGGATGACAGATTTGATCCCAAAGCAAGCAATCTTTGATGACCAAGAGGAAGGTTGCTAAACTAGTTTTTGTTTGTGACTGATTCATTTCCTAGCTTGCAAGAGTGCAAAGTTCCAGTGTGATAGCACGATGTTGTGACGTCTGGAGGTTTTTTTGGAAGCCCGGACTTGATGATTGAATCATAATTAGATTCCTGAGGAATACCTTTCAGGACTACCTTTCAGGTACACTTTCCAGCTCCGCCTCTCGGGAACGGGCAAGAGCCAGTCAGTGAAAAATGACTTTGAAAGATATGTACTTTTGTGACAACATGCCAACCGGTACATGTACTGACAAAGATGTGCAAGGATGTCGGATGACAAACCTAACAAACCTCAGACAATTTTGTTTATACACCTTGCTGCCTTGTGCAGGTGATTCCATGACGAATGTCGTCAGCGTTGAGTGGACTTCCGATGAGGACATGGTTGTGTTGGAGGTGTTTGAAGACGGAGGAAAACAAGGGAGAGACTCAGAGCCAACAACATGGAAAGAAGTCATGGAAGAGTTTGAAGAGAACGGTTTAGAGTATACGATCAACAATCATGAGTGCATCCGTCAAGAGGGACAGGCCTCGGAGGATGGTCATGGCGAGCAGGCTGATGGAGATCATGGAGTCGGAGGGTACTCCATCTCACCCAAGAAAACAAAGGTTTACTTTCAGTATGGTTGGCAGCAAGGCAACTACAAATACAGCAATGTGGCTTCCGCTTTTTCAGTTGATCTTTCTCAGCCGAAAGCCATACTTACTCACAGATTGGGCTTGAAGAGTTGGAGGTGTTTCTGTTTTTTTTGCGTGTGTTTGAGTGTTCAAGGAGTTTGTCAAGCTTCAGGTCCTGAGATCAAGCAGAACCATTGATACCATTTGGAGGGTGACAGTATCAGAGACGGAGAAGGCAACCTGGACTCAAGAATTGTTGATGTCCTTTGTGTGGTACAATTTATTTTACTGGATGCAATGGACACACATTAATTGTTGCCTGATGTTGACTTAGGAAGTGGCTCCACGCACCTTGTCGAACATACACTAACTTCTCACTATTAAACTAAGGAATAGTTTCCTCCGTTTTTTTACCTGGAAAAGAACATTGAGTTTCATTATTCAGCCAAGGCAAACCCCTCTATTTCCTATCAAAGGAGGTCACGCTTGGTGAAAATGAATGCCTCCGTTTGCTCTAAACATGGGCTTAGAGGCTTAGAGACGCAATGCTTCAAGAAAGAGTAGAGTTAGAGGCGAGGCCAACCTGATGACTCTGACCTTTAAAATAAATCATCGTTTAGAACCTGATGTTTTTACACAATGCTTGAGTGTGGCTGGCAATGTCGCTTTGCTCTTTGAATTTTGATTTGCATTGGGCCGATGGCCCAATGTAGGGGTTTGATTGGCATGATTCAATTTGATGCCATCCAAAGAAAAAAATCACGAACAGATATATAGCTAGTAGCTTTGATAGGTTTCTTACAAATATGTTAGGGTGTGCGTTGGGTTGATCTTTCATGCGATCGCAGCCTTCAAAGGCATCACAGACTTCAAAGCGAGGACACTTAGGGAAGTGCTGGAAAAAGACCGCACATGGGGTGCACATGGGAAAGAATTGTTTCCTGGTGTTAATCAACTAGTCTGTGGCCCAAATATAATGAAATCTGGCCTAGTCATGGTGAAATAGCTTTTGTTCATAAAAATCATAAAGAACTTGGCCCAAGCTTCGGCTGATGCACACAGCAGCAGCCACCCGCTGGATGGCCTGGGGGCGTTGGGTCGTGCGCGCGTGGAGAAGCTGCGCAGCTTGAGCACTGGCACAGATCGACCACTTAGTTTTCAACATTTTTTGTTTTTTAACTCCTTCCTGTGGAAGGTGCAAAGCCCTCACTCACAGAGCTGACATCGCCGTTCCTTTTCCACATGAACACTTAAAGAGCTGTCAATGTGGGACGATGAATCCTCATGTTCCAATACATAGTTCCATCACGTTGCCATCTGTTCGTTGGACGTTCGTTGTCAAAATGGGTCGTTCCTAGCTGTCAGAACAATTGATTTAAACAATTGGAAACATATTAGAAACCTTCCCGGTAGTCAAAACAACTTGCATCATTGATCATTGTCTTTCTTGAGAACGATACGGACCCACGCATGTCCAGTGTTGAAGTATGATTTCACAGTATATAAATCCGGGTCCAAACTGACTGGCAGTGCATCAAAACCGGAAGGCTGCTTGACTACCAGGCATGTCAGAAAGTGGACATAAGTGGACCACCATGCCTCCCAAGCTAACAGTGCTTTTGGGGAGCTACCCAGGCACGGAACTTCTACAGTATATTATATATATATATTTCTTATAAAGCTTTCGACCCACTCCTGCCAAGGACGCTACTATAGGGGCTCCTGGCATCGCTACTAGTAACAAGAAGCTACTAGGAGCATTCTTACTACTAGGAGCTTTCGACCCACTCCTGCCACCTGACACCGTAGAGGAAAACACAACTCGCCGCACCCGTTCGCGGGTCTCACCGTAGCGGCCAACAGCTGCTTCCGCAACGGTGTGACCGCACCGGCCACCACGATCTCCTCAGATCGGTTGCGGAGAGAAACGCTCCTGGTGGGGACTTGGTGCTGGACGATGCGCCGTGTGTCTCCCTTTGAAATCCAATGCCTGTCAGTGTGTACTTTGATAGTTACTAGTAGTACGAATGCTCCTAGTAGCGATGCCAGGAGCCCCTAGTAGCGTCCTAGTAGTAAGGCCAGGGGGCCCTGGTCTAGTAGCTTGTTGTTACTAGTGTGTGTGTGTGTGTGTTTGTTGTTGTTGCCGTGGCTGTGGTTTTGGTTGCGGTATTGCTGTGGCTGTTGCTGCTGCTGCTGTCATCGTCACCCCGAAAAGTGGGGCCGACTTGGAAGAGGTATGGTATATTACAACCAAGCGTTTAGGAACATCAAACATGCATGACAGTTGAGCAGCAAATCTGGTGCTTCAACAAGGGGACAAACACAGCAAATGACTTGTCTCACAGGTGCTTTTCAACAAGTTCATCAGACCGTCCAGGTCTCGTCAAGAACTCCATTTGTCACCTGTTTCTCCACGTGTTAAATGATGCTCCCCCCGCCAAAGCAGCGCACAAAGAATGTACCCAACATGTCGGACGTCTGTTGAATCCATTCGCCCAATCTTCCCCTGCAACAGGTTTTTGATCGTTTTCTTTGGTTTTGCCGGTCCTCCAAGATGCGCACAACAAACACACACACACACACAATTACATCACAAACATTAATCCCTATGGATCCACATACCTTCTGAGAAGGTGATTGGAGACTATTTATGTAGGCTTGGAGGGTCCAATTAGCTTCTGAGAAGGTATGTGGATCCATAGGGAATATAAACTATATAACTATATATCGTATTAGGGTGTGACTGCGCTCGACCTCGCAGGACGATCCCAATGTGAACTGATGTTCCCCAAAGAACAACAACGTTCAACAAACATGGACTGAGATGCACATTTATGGCTTCGGATGCAGTTTCCCCTCTGAGAGACTATAAGACAAAACTCACCTTCTATGTGCTACAAGCTGCTACAGATCCACATTCCCCCTCGAAGGTTTGGTGCTTTGTTGGAGATGCTTCAGACGGCTTCACTCGAAGTCTCACAAAGTGGGTCGACTCCCACCGAGTCGCCAGCTGCCCAGTGGGGTTCCGCCGCGCGAGGCGCGACAAGGCCGTGGCCACCGCGACGCGTTCATCGCCGGTGCCCTCCTGGAGGTCGCTGGGTTTCGGTGGCCGCCACAGGGTGGGAAAGCCAGGCCACACGCAGCGATCCGCCGATTTCATGTGGCCCTGAGGCTTCCGAATTGGGGTGGACAGCCTGGCACTGGACCTGGTACGTGTCAGATCGTTTCAGATCACCATCCCTGACACGGTATATCCCTAGCCTTCCAAGAGTCTATCCGCTAAAGGCCTTTAGGCCCAGCGACAAATCACCATTGGTCGCTTAGTTTGCGTTGCTGTCCGGTTTATTCATCGCTGTTGTATACTTTGAGTTTGGCTCAGGTTGTCCACGACTTCGTTGGGTCTTTCCCCTCTTTTTTGGGGGTCTTTCCACACCTTCTTTAGTAGGTCTTTCCACATGTCCGGGTTTGTTCACGACCTTTGTCTTCCAAGATGTGCACTGTTAGCTTCTCTTGAAAGGCTTTCCAAGCAGCATTCATTTGAGACAGACTTACCTCATGAAGGTTTCCTTAGCTACACAGGCAGAATGTGCTACATCCCAAAATGGATACTAAAACCGCAATAGGTCTGAGGGTTGGTCAAAAGACCTATCTGGGATAGGTCCCGGACGGTCAGGGATCTCATATTTTGTCATGAGGATGGTGAGAAATCACATAATATATATATATAACTAGTTATAAATATACATGATGGATCATGATGGAATCCTCAGGTTCTTCGTGAGATATCCCGTGCCCCCCCTAAAAATAGGCCTCCCGATGTCCACGGACTGCCCACGGGATCGACCGGTCTGGGCCTTCAGTTGTCGCACGAGCGGCTCCACCAGACCAGCGTCCACCAAATTCACCTCCGCAGGGAGCGGTCGCAAGGAGCGGTCGTTGGTGGGACGTGAGGAGTCTCCCAGAGATGGGAGATGAGTCCTTCACCTGGGAGATGGCAGTTCCTAGTAGCTTCTTGTTCCTAGTAGCACAATCCTTCTTCACCTGCAGATCTCACAAGACACCAAGGCGAGCTGAACAACTCCAAAGTGCCATCGAACTCCAGATGAGCGCACTGGGAATAGTTCCAAGTCCCAAGCAAAGTCGCTATTAAAAAAAGCCTGTTTGCCAGGGAGTTCCAAGCGGAATCTTGCGATCAAATCCTGGTTCACTGCTGGGAGCCCCGAGCCAGTTCCGTTCACCGTCAAGCCGCTTGCTAAGAATTCTGTGTCCAGGTTAAAACCATGTCATCCATTGAGATGATTCACATGTTCCACAGCCAAACGTCCCGATAGTTATAATGTTTTGTCGTTGATACTGGATGAAATCAAAGTATATATTACAATATATACTATTATATATATATACATCATATTCTAATCTAAGTTTTGCATATTAATTAATAGCATATAACTCATGATAAAAAGGATTTACATCAATAGTGCAATTAGCAATCCCATTCGTTGCGATCCCAAAAGCCCGGTCAGGAAAAGGTCCTCAACCGCACACATTTACGAGGTGGATGGCCTCAGTTGAAAGATGATTCTTTGGACACCCAAAAATGGGGAAGGTGGTCCACCCAAGATTTCGGATGTCTTTGGACTGCGCAGGGAGACCTGTGGCCCAAAGGAATGGTCCTTGGACTCGTGAATCTACGGCATCTTGCCTATCACGAAGTTGTGCCTATCAGAGGGATTTCCTGGTACATCTATTCTCAGGCTCTGCACACCACGTCCTCGTCGCCTCGTCGTCCAAGGCGCGGGTCCTCGCGCCTGGTGCCGGAGGCCGATTGCCGCCTGCTTGGCCACAGCCAAGCCCGCCTGAGACGGTGGACACTCCTTGCGTCTGGAAACGAAATGACATCAGGTCCTCAGGTTATCAGTATTTTTGTTCGGGGAGTCACCGGCAACCAAGTCTCGTGGTCAAACTGTCCTTTCAAAAAGCTTATCCGCCCTTATTCAAAGTGGTCCCGAAGCAATGGAAATGGTTCATGAGACACTTTTGGTCACTACACCCACGTGGACCTTGAAGATAAACACACACACACCCTGAAAAGGAAACCACACACTGGTCTTCATATGTCTTCATTGCCCCCTGTTCCTTTAAGGCAACAGCACCTGGACAATCTCGGCTACATCTCGAGTGATGAAAATCTGATAGACATTATACAGTATACATATATGTTACATATATAATAATATATATTAATATTAAAATATATATATATATATATATATTATTCATTGTATACAATTCTTATATATATATATATCAATTATTCCTGTATTGACCCCCAAATGATGAAGACGCAACGCGAATTCTCGGGAGGATATACTCCCTAGCTTTTGATACCCAAACAAGCCATGGTTGCATATCTGATAATAATAATACCCGTCTCTGCCGATGTTGCGGATCGGGCTCCGATCGGGCTCAGTGCATTGCGATCGGGCTCAGTACATCTTCTGTTTTCTTGAGTCTTACGTATATGAATGATTGCAACTCTCTTGAGCCCCCAACGCAACAATACTCTCGACTCTCTTCTCACAAAAGTCAGAAATACCGGTAGACAAGCAATTGCAATACTTGGTAGACAAAATCCGGCACCATCTGATGTTGTAACATATCCTCCTATAATATCCCAAAGTTCCAATATGTTCCAATGTGTTCCAATGTTTGGTGCATCCCAATCCTCTTCTTCCCAGATTGGATTTCCACCGTCGTTTCCATACGGCGCCTCCATGCGCTTCCGAGGGTTGTCAGACTGCAAATCCAGCAGCAGCAACTGCAGGGGCTGACCGAAATGTGGAGCCCCACTAATAAAACAAACCTATCTTCTAACATCTTCTAACCCTGCAGAATACATCCTTGCAAACGTTGAGTTCACAAACAAACACAAACTGACAAACAAATCGACCGGACCTTGTTGCAGGGAAAACGAGTCGTCTTCTTTCAGGTCAACTGTCAAGTTCGTGTTAGTTTGTGAGTGAGGGTGTGTCCAAAGTCCTTCCCCACTCTGTCCATCTCAACTTCTTCATCTGAGAAAACTACAGGCCCCAGAACCTTAACCCCAGTGATACTGGACTCTGCAATTGTTCGTTATGTTCGCAAGACTTTGTACCTGAAAAATCTATATTATAGCCATGGCCTCCAACCTAACAGTGATGGCCTCCAACCTAGAAGGGATGGCCACCAACCTAAGGGCTGTCTTGGTTCAGTTGTTGGAGCCTGGGGCCATGTTCTAGTCCTGTCCAGCTTCGGCGGCAACGATCCTGCCTGTGCAGGAACCGGTGGAGCGGAGCCGGAGGACATCGAGGACCATGGACCAGACTGGACCAGGCTTAGCGAGGTACAGGCTTTGCGCTCTTGTTGCTCAACAAGAGTTGCATGTTTTTTAGTTTTTCGGCAACTTCCGTCTTAAGAAAGTCTATATAATTGAAAAAAAATAAATCGAAATAACACAAAACAATGATCTCAACACACCTTCTACAGTACTCCTGGCACTAAATACCCGGGCTCTAGAGATGATAAGTATGTTTGGGAACGCAAACGATCCAACTGCGGATCTTCCTAGCCGAGGCGAGGCCTGATGATATATAATATTGTATAACACTAGTGTTGTCATGTAAACAACAAAGGTACGGTAAATGTGTTTTTTCCTTAACAACTCAACATAGTTTTAGATGTTCTGGAAGCTGCTGGTAGTGTTCAAGGAATATCAAGGAATTAATCTTTCTGTCAATCTATTGCTTTGACTGGGTGGACTAAACTGCATGGCACATGCACACCATCTGCGAAAGCTTGATGAGACAGCAACAGCATCAACGAGCCAAGTTATATGCAGTAAATGACATGACAGCTCTGTGGCTCTGTTCGGAGAACCCACTGAAGAAAGCAATCAGCTCCACAACCCAGTGGACTCATCACTTATATACCAGAACCAGGACCTTGAAAGGTGATTGTCCCCGGTGGTTGTTCTGTACAAAACTGGCCAGTTTGTCCGGCACCGAAACAACCCCATAAACACACAGTTGACAGGTTCAACATTCTGGCACAAACAAGTTTGAAAATCTTTGACAACTCTGAACTGGTCATCTTCCCGGTCCCAATTCCTCCAACTTAGCTCATTTCCTTCAAAACATTGAACATCGAACGATGGTCAAACCGGGGATGACCTACAGTAGGGGTCGGTCATCATTGGGTGACTGTCACCCCGTCACCTCCACCTCCACGTTCGACCGTCGGGTACCTCACGTCCCACCGTGCAACTGCCTCGGTCTTTTTCTCCGCGTGCGACACACGGTCTCGGTCCAGCGGTCCAGCGGTCTCGGTCCAGCGCGACCACACGGGACCTGAACAGCCATCACCGACGCCGAAGACTCACGCAAGTTCAGAACAGCGTTGTGTTCGTTATCCCAACCGAAAACATGTCCTACACTCATGGCTCATGGGATAGCAAGTCCAGTCCTCTTCCCACCCCTGTTCGTGGCAGTTGCGTTGGTGGTCACGAATGGGGAAATCAGAGTAGTGAAGAACTAGAGTGGCAACATCGACAAGGCAGGGGATTGTGGCCAAGATTTGCCGTCTAACAGCGCGACTTACCTTCCAGTCCTTCAAGTCTGGTTTCCAAGCAGACCTTTCCCTGAAGCCGACCTCTACGTGGGCATCGGTGGATAATCGCCAAGCCACAACCAGCAGCATCACGTCACCATGTCACCATATGTCACCCAGCATGCCGGTAGCTTGGCGTTCTGCTTTGCTTACTCCCAAAGGAAGAAAACGGAACTATTCGAATGCCAAATCCATCCATATTCATCATTACATATTCATTCCATATCCCGTCCGGAATTGAATCCTGTGCCCCTTGACCGGAGAACCCCTGGACATTCCTCTATGTTTGGGGGTCCTGTGTGCTCGTGGGGATTGATTCCAAACTTTATTTAAACATATATAAAATTATTAAACCATTTGACATGCAATGATGCTAGTGTGGCTTCTTGCCCAGAAACTGCAATGTTGTAGCTTCCGCTGCCAAAGGCCATGTACCAAGGAAATGAGTTGCAGCAAGTAGCTGATGATAGAGTCTCTTCTTCAGGGTATAGTTGAAGGACTTGTTTCGACACGTCGTGGAAATGTCACGCAACTCATGATGTTCGGTCGTCGGCTTGAGATATCCCCCATCGTCCGGGCATGCGCGGTGCTGCCTGCTGAGGACCCCCCCACGAGCAATCTCCTGGACAAGAAACGATGAGGTTACAAGTCCCAAGCCATGCTGTGGGAGAAAGGATAAAGAACACACCGTCATAAAACCAAGGTAAGAAATTAACAACACGCAGCCATCCATGGCTATAAAGAATGACCCTCAAATCACTTGTCACTTGTGTACCTGGCCATCCACGAGGACAGGATGGAACATCCCTTTGCAATCATCTTGCAACCATGGTGCCTGTCGGGTGTTGTTTTTTCAGAGTGCAATCATCCATCAAGAACACAGTAGAACCATGTGGAACCCTCAAAATATTCCACTTTGGAGGGCTGGGGAATCCTTCAAAGCTCCTGGGTGTTACTCGGCACCCCTCACCGGCCTTGATTCACTCCAAACGCTTCACAGCAGCGATGAATTCTTCATCACTCTCTAAGCCTGCAGTGCACACAAGCCACTGGGGGCATGATGGGGCATGGAAGAGAAGCACTTGTGAAGGCTAAATGGAGGGTGTGTGGAGAAAGGGGGTCAGCAAAAATCGCTTGTACGAAGTTAGTGCATCAAAAATACCTTCCACAAAGCTCTGCGAAGGTTTCTGGGATTTCGTTGCAGTCAGTTCTGCTACTGGCCCACCATTCCACGAACTGTCCACGAATAGCCTTGGGTTCTACGAATGTCCCGCGCCTTCCACGATGTTAGTAGAATAGGTTTTGCAAAACCCTTTCTGTGCACTACCCTTCCGTTTGCCTCTGAACTTGGCGCCGACTGGAACAAGACTCGCACTACCCAAGTTCTAAACCTGACCTGGACAGAAATTAGTACAGTATATTTAATGTGGTTTGTACAGAATCCGGTGGAATAAATACCGTATCACCTAAAGGATGAAGGGCGAACGACTTCGTGGGGGTCAACAGCTCAACACCAAGAACTTGCTTTGGGATGCTTTCGGTGACAAGAGCTGCTGCGCCGCCCTGGACCGGTGGGGCGGTCGTCCGGGACGCCAAGGCACGTCGCTTCTTGGTCAACAAGCGCCGGCGGAGGGCGGCATCCGCGCCCTGAAGCTCCTGGGGACTGGGAGCTACGTTCGTAGCGTCCTTGCTACTAAGAGCTACTAGTAACAAGGGCATTACTACTAGTAGCAAATAGCTAGCCCTTGTTACTAGTAGTAAGGCCAGGAGCTACTAGTAGCATCCTTGCTCCTAGTGCATGGGGTTAAGGCCGGTTTCAGTTCACATTCAGACAGGAACAAATTTACACCTCTCTACTGCCTTACCCAAATGTTGAGCCCCTGCTGATACTGATTTCTCATCCAATTGGCATCAACAGCAAGTTCGCCACCTCTGCGCCAGGACCGACCTGCTCCGGTCCTGCAAGATCTGGCACCTAGGCGTGCAACGGTGAATTCTGTCAAAACACAGCGGTTTCAAAGCAAGTGGCACAACCCCTAGATGTCTTTTGGATGGAGGCCCATATAAACCACCCCTTGGGGATTGTGCCATCTACTCTGAAACCACTGAGAAGCAATCACGTTGGGTGAACAGGTGAATCAAGGACATTGATTCATGATGTTGACAATTAAAATAATGCCTTGAATTAAGTAAACTTTGCACTGCAAGCTGCCCGCTTATAAACTGTTTGGCTTGCTATGGCTTGCTCATCCAATTTAAGCATGTGATGTGACAGCTGGTTTTAAAGCAAAGCAAGGCAGAACAAATCAACGCGGAAAGCAAACGAGTTGTAGACATCTCGTGGGCAAAGCGGCTCAGTGGCCCGGGACCGCAGGCAAAGAGAAAGCAAAGACATCCAGCATTCTCTGTACAACATATGCCAATTCTTTCAGTGGAACAAAAAAATGGAACTACTCTATGGAACTTCCCAAACCCGCCTGGTCCTGAAAACCTCATGGTTCCTAGTGGCTTTTTGTTTGAAAACCCTCGGAATCTCCCGAGGCCGAAATCAGGCGAACATCCTCTGACTCCCGAGCTGGTTGGATCCCAATGGCCGCAAGGAGTTTGTGTCTCCCAAACGAACTCCACCTGCTCTTGTTTTAGTGTCCCGGTGTCCCCCAGTGTCCCCCAAAACGGTTGAATGGTTGTCCACTGACTGGGTATACAATATATATATAGTATAGGTACGGTTGTATTTAATGTACATGTACTGTATATTTTGAGACAAATGCTCTGATTTCTCTTCGACTTATCTATGAACTCTACGTACTGCTTCTCCGAGTTGGAAGCATCATCATTCCATGGAGCTTTGGAGCAACTTGACCAAAAAGATGCTTGCATGACGAAGTGCATGTTGATCATATGTGTCCTTTGTGCAACAAAGTGTGCTGCCAAGAGCACATCTCTTCCTTCGTCGTCTGTGGCTCAGCAAGACAATTCTTCTAAGTCTTACATCGAGCAGGTGGTGACGGGGTGGTACATTACTCAGAGACAAGCAGTTGGACAACCTTGGACCTTTGAAGTGAATTCCTCCAGTTTTCCAGCCTGACGGTCTTAGTTGGACCCCATAGGATCCCCATAGTCCGGTCAGGTCTCTGTTCGTCTGATTTCCCGGAAGACTCTCAGTACCTCTCCGCCTCGGCTGCCCGGCAGCTGGGCAGCCGTGGCATCGAAGATCGCAGCAGCCTTGACACGATCTGATCGTGTCGTCGTGCCGCGTCGTGCCGATTGCAGCCTTTGGATCTTCCAGTGGTTTTGCACAGATAAGGTCAACCCCCCATACCACTCCACCTTGTAATTGTAACCTTCATCTTCCAATCGTTCTTTCTTAGTCCCACAAGTGGGCTCGCTTGAGCCGCACTCCTCAAAAGACACACAAAAACAGATCGCTGCGGTTTCAACAAAAGCCGGAAGGGCTGGGAACGAGACTTCCGGTCCTTCATGTTGACAACCACTTTGTCACCCAGTCTTTTCTAGATCCCTGGAAGCTTCCAATGGAAGCGGTCAAGCAGTTCGAGGTGAGTTGACAATCTGAACATCTTTTTACCCTCCGCAACTCAAGCTATTTGGAGGCCAAATTCCTAGGAACCTCTCTCTATATTATAATCCTTCTCGTTGAATAAACTCACCAAATCAGTCGATCCACTCTACAACCAACCTGGTTGGTTGAAGTGTGTAAGCATCCGTTTCTGAACAACTACCCCCCTTCTCCATCGTCCTGCTGCCAGTCGCTTTGCTCTTCCTCTCGCCTACGGAGGGATGTCTTGCTCAGCCCCAAAGGGATGGTCAAGTAAAGTTTCACAGGAGATGGCCAGTATGAAGGTTGGCCAGGAGAGATGTTTGATTCCTTGCCTGGATATCCGTGCTTCACACATGCTTTAACACTTGAGGCTTGTGTCCTTTTTCCTTTTAAGAGGCTAGGCGCTGTTTCCAAAAATAATCACGTGTATCACAAGAAATTATCTTCCATCATGAGCTTCATGGTGGGATAGTAAACCACAAGTCTTCGTGCTAGCTTCTAAGAAACAGGAACAACAACATGTCGTATACTGTAATACATCTACTGTTGATACCATAATACCTTGACACCAGTCATTGGAACGAAGCATCATCCCTGGCAACAAAAGAAATAACATTGGAGTATTTGGAACCACCAACATCCACCAACCTCAGCCAGTCGGACATGAACCATTAACGGTCGACCATTTAGAAAAGTGTTCGGACGAAGAGTCACCCGACCGCCACATTGCAGAATATGGTCTGAACACCACATTCAGCGATTTAAGTGTATTTGTTGATTCTGCGGGTTGGAGTGCAGTATCTATCCCAAGACTCCGTGTCTGGAATATTGACCTACATTGAGCATTTATGGGTATTTACATGGGGTGCATGCGTGGAATGCTTGGACATTATTTGATCAATGATCAAACCTATCCCAGTGGATCCAGTTACCACTATAGACTATATGGTGATCAGTGGTTCTAAAGACTAACCATAGACCTAGAAACCCTGTTCCGACTGGGATCCAATGGGTATATTCACCTGGAGCAGTTTGGCTTTGCTCTCACAGGCCTGAAGCATTGCACTTTCTCAGCTGCCTTGGCCTGGAAGCAACCACCAGGGTCGTGGCTATTGAAACGCATCTTGCCTAAATCGAAACACAAAAACGAACCCCAAAATTTCCCATGTTCTGTAGGATAAACAAATGGACCAACTTTTGTGGCGATTGGTTATATCTGTTTTACATTGTTTTACTACAGGCGGGGTTGCGATGGGCTGTATGACATAAGGAGGATGCTGACATGTTCACTGTCCCCAGTTTGCATGTCCCTGCAAGCAACTAACGAAGAGGAAATCTATAAAGGATTTCTGATCTTCCCCTGTCCACAAAAAAGAGCGCGTCCTTCCAAACTATGGGTCTTTGAGATGTGGCAAACCCGCTCTTTACTCAGTAAGTGTTTCTGGATGATTGAAATGAGTTCAAAGGTTGTAGGCATTGCAAACCGGGCCACGTAAACTAACCCCGGGTCTATTCAAGTGATATGTCACTCACCACAGTGTTTGCACAAAGTCAAAGCATCTAATCCCCAAATCTAGAGGAAATTCCGACTGCCTCCCCCACATTCAGCCATGCAGGTTTTCTGTTTTAATACTATGATAATCTATGGTTGTCGGTTCTCGAACCCGGCTTTGTTGAGACCAGTGATTTTGCCCCGAGTGCCTCCTCTGCCCGGCGCAGAAGCTTCTGGGCAGCCAGTGACTCAGTCACCTGTCAGTATGACTGGGCGGCTGATGGGGTGAAGTCTGATGGCTATGCTGGCATTGGTCGAAGACGTCGTTTAGGAGTCATGTCGTTTAGGGGTTAGGGTGTTTAAAACCCTATAAGGTTTGAGTGTTGTTCTTTGAAACCCTAAGGTGACAACAACTGGTCGAAGACAATGTTGTTTGAGTGTTGTCTTTTAAAACCTGGATGGACAAAAGGAGCCAGGGTGTCCGATTTCTCTGTTCAACGTCCAGTGGTGCCTCTCGGGAAACCTGGAGCATCCCACCGAAGACCGAAGGGATGGTAGGCAGGGTGATATTCAAACAAATTCAAACCTTCTTGGATTCACTGCACAACAAGTTGCATACTGAGCAGTTAATGTGCTTCATTACTTAGCAACTATCAACTTGTTGTGCTAAAAATGATTCTAATTCATCCAATGAATTCAGACCATTCAGTTCGAAGAGCAGAAATCAAAATTTTGAGCCTTAAATATCCATGAAACACCGTTTGCACCGCGCCAGCATTCGGGCGTGCAACTCAGGTAGATCCGACCGACTCAGTGTTTCCGTGTGGTCCGATGTCCATTCCCTGGTACCATGTCCTGTTGAAAGGGCCTGCCAAACTCAGGTGTTTCCCTCAGACAATGTCCAGATGCACATGACTCACATGACCATGGAATTGTGGATGGTCAACTGTTGCGACCTTGGTCGATTGTCCCATTTCTCCGCCTCCAGAAGCTTCTCTGGCCGCTCAACCGTCGACAGGCTCTTGCGAAGGTTGGCTTCCTGCCGAGGTGAGCATGCCAATCACCGCCGAGGAGGTCCACAAGGGATCCACACATGGCCAAGCTGCAAGCGGAGCGATCGGACGCTACTAGGGGCTCCTGGCATCGCTACTAGAAACAAGGATGCTACTAGTGGCGGCTGGCCTTACTACTAGGAACAAGGATGCTACTAGGGGCTCCTGGCCTTACTACTAGGAACAAGGACGCTACTAGGGGCTCCTGCCCTTACTACTAGGAACAAGGATGCTACTAGGGGCTCCTGGCCTTACTACTAGGAACAAGGATGCTACTATGGGGCTCCTGGCCATACTACTAGGAACAAGGACGCTACTAGGGGCTCCTGGCCTTACTACTAGGGGCTCCTGGCCTTGCTACTAGGAACAACGATGCTACTAGGGGCTCCTGGCCTTACTCCTAGGAACAAGGATGAAGGATGCTACTAGGGGCTCCTGGCCTTAGTACTAGGAACAAGGACGCTACTAGGGGCTCCTGGCCTTACTACTAGGAACAAGGACGCTACTAGGGGCTCCTGGCCTTACTACTAGGAACAAGGATGCTACTAGGGGCTCCTGGCCTTACTACTAGGAACAAGGATGCTACTAGGGGCTCCTGGCCTTACTACTAGGAACAAGGATGCTACTCGGGGCTCCTGGCCTTACTACTAGGAACAAGGACGCTACTAGGGGCTCCTGGCCTTACTACTCGGAACAACGATGCTACTAGGGGCTCCTGGCCTTACTACTAGGAACAAGGATGCTACTAGGGGCTCCTGGCCTTGCTACTAGGAACAAGAACGCTACTAGTAACAAAGGGCATCGCTGAAGCAGAATTGACTTCGAGCTGCTCCCACCCGCCCAGGTACACTGGTAGGACAAAAAACTGTTTCAGGCTTTTCGTGGCGGGGGATTCCTCGCCCACCGTGTGTGTGTATGTCATTTCTTGTTGTCTGCTGTCGTCTGGTGTTGCTGTTGTATGTGTCATTGCATGTCATTGCTTACCGTCTGTTGTGGCATTTGTCTTTGTGTGTTGTCAGGTGTTGTGTGTGGGGCTATGATTGCAGTGTTTGCCCTGGGTCGGGCCACTGGCGGGCGTTGTGGTTCTGTTTGGTGTTGTGGTCGTGTGTCATTGTGCGCTGTCTGTGACATTGTTTGCATTCTATTGCCACGCTTGTCATTGGACTGGCCGGGCACAAGATGATGCAGTCTCCGTTGTGATTAGGTTCGGTGGTGTCATTACCAGTCTCATTGTTTGCTTTCCCTCGTCGTCTGTGTCTTTCCGGGTGTTGTTAAATGTGTCTGGTGGCAACACTATAGGGTCGGGCCACTGGGTGACCCACACACTGGGCCCAGAGCGCGCGATATGTGGGATTTGGTCTTCATGTTATGCCCTTGTTATTAGTAGCGTCCTTGTTACTACTAGTAAGGCACCTGTTACTACTAGTAAGGCACTTGTTTCTGCTAGCCTAATAATGATAGTCTGAAGATGCCCAAGCTCAAGCGGTTGATAAGATCAATGATCCATCCCCGACCGACGGAAGAGACTTGGTCAGTGAGGCAACCGGTCCTAACACCCCACAGTACCAACTCACCTCTTGGGGACATCACAAGTGCTTTCTTGAAGCCAAAAGCATCGAAGACAACGGGTGATGCCACATGTTATCCTGGATGACAAAAATTCGCTTGAAATGGAGAATCCTGATGCTGGATCCAGTACTTGCTGGTTTAAGGTAGTTTGGTATCCCGTTCGCTGGAGGGCTTTGGAAATTGTTTATGTTTATTTACCAACTGACTCCACAAATGAACATGAACATACATGAACATGAACGTGGACCGACCACGAATTTGCCGCCGGGGCTCAGGGTCCATGTGGAAAACAACGGTCGCATCAATCAGATCCGGTCCGTCCGGCCAGCTGCTCAGATCCCCGTCCTCCGATGGGCTGACGGAGTCCAAACGCACAGCCAGCGAGGGCTCCGAGCGAAAACGCTGCTCGGGGCCCGGCAAACCCAACCTCGGCATGCCGCCTGTGTCATGCCGTGCGTGTGTGGCGCGATGAGAGTGGAGCACAGGATTCCAAGGATCAGTGAGTTTTGGTGAGATTAGGAATTCGTTGCTGCAAGGTTCACCTTGTATTGTGTCATTGGCAAAATGTTCACCAAGGATGTAACAATCTTATGGTTGAGCCGTGGCGCCCAAAACTGACCCTAAAAGAGCGATCCGTGCTCAGCTTCCCGACCACCAAGGTGCATGCCAGGTCCACGGAGGAGACCTCGCGCGAAGAATCCAATGTGGAGAATCGGAGAACAACCAACCCCCTGGGGGGAACATCTCAGCTTTGTTTCCGTGTCTGACTAATTGTCTGTGCTGTGCCAAACAGGAGTTCATCAGTTGATCTCTGATTTGTTCATTCCGCATGGTATTGCGATGTATTGCGTGTGTCTTTTCTTGTTTCCCAAGTGCCATAATCCCTGCACGCCCTGCAAGAGTCATGGACATGTAGTGACGTAACTTAAGAGGTACATAGTCCACTTCCATCACTGTTGGAGGGAGCTAAAGCAGCACATTGACCTGGGGCGTGTTCATTGCACCCTGAGTGATTGCTGAATGAACCAGAGACCCACAAAACATTCAATCAATCCTTTGTAGTCCTTTCATCCGATGTTCTCAGTCACGGGTGCAAAGCAGTGGGCTGAGCCAGGCTCTGCAGGGTCGGGCCATCCCGGCCTGTTCAACCAGGCTCACCGGCACAGTCACAATCCACGGGCTCGCGGGCACATGTAGTAATGTAGTAGACATAATGCTGGCAATGATTATGGTGATGGTGGTGAGATGATGGAACCAGGCAATGGTGATGATGTTACTGATGATATTGATGATGGTTAAATTACTGAAATCAGGAATCCCTAGCGATCCACATACTTTCTGAATCCCTAGGGATTGATAATGAAGATGCTGATGGTGATAGTGAGATATAGTAAGTTCATGAGCACAGGGGCACACGAACACAGCACAGGCCACAGCACAGGCCAACAGCAGGATGATGATGATGATGATGATGATGATGATGATGATGATGACGAGGATGATGAGGATGATGATGATGATGATGATGATGATGATGATGATGCTGCTGCTGCTGCTGCTGGTGGTGGTGGTGGTGGTGGTCAAAATGAAGGTGATGATGATGGTACAATTGATATTGACGATGCATGCATAGTGGACCATGCAACAATCGTGATCTCGTGGTAGATCAAATCCCAACCACACCATCTACTTGTCTCTACCAGTCTGTAACCTGAGCATCAACACTCCAGTTTATTGTGAGATCCTGCACCCGTCAAGGCCATCTGGCTGCCCCACAGCCCCACCTGACCTGCTGAGGAGTATGGCCAGGGGTGGCTGAAGATCATCACTCTTGGCATTCTGAATGTACCAAAAGCCATTGGCCTCTCGAGCAGTTGGGTTTGGCTGCATCAACAGTTCGATCAACAGCTTCATCAACGATGAACAAAATAGCAAACAACATCCAGCAACTAAATATATAATATATAACTAAACACACATGTGGGTTCTATGGGGCTTCCATTTGTTGCTTTCTACTTCAGGCGAAATGAAGTTGGTTGTCTCTGTTGGCCTTCCATGCGTATCCAAGTTGGCGGGAGTGACCGGATTGACCCATTTCGACCCCTCTGCAGTGAGCTCATCAAGTCATTAGTTTGTTCTCTGGGCTAAGGGCTTGTGTTTGGGTGTCGAGCTATTCTGAGACAAACCCAACATGGACTTCACGCGACAAAAGGTTAGCTCCGTCGATCTGTTGGCCTTTCCTGCAAATAGCCAAATCCCATTCAAGACTGCAAGCAGTAACTAGTAGGATGACATCTGGGAACATGTTCGAAAGCTTTTGATCGCGACACTCCACTGAATCTTCATAGGACGTGCTATCGGTTGTTGATTGAAGCGTCTTCGCGTGCCCCGTTGTTCTCGACCTGTCCACCCAGAGACCGATTGAAACGGTGTCGATGGACCAAATGAAACCGCAGGGCTAAGAATGGTCTCTAAGAAGCTGGGCTGTGTGTGTTTGCCTCTTCCAAAGGCAACGTAGGATTCACTGATCTGGGAGCTACAGTGAAAAGATAGAGTCAAAGTGGAGTCAGGAGAATCGTCCAAGATGAGAATTCCCTAGTAACCTAGTATCTTCAATTCCAGCCAACCCCAGCTTGTGAAAAGCAATTGGAACATAACTTACAAGTATAATGCAATATTGATATGCAATACTATATCTATACTATAAACATATATCACTATGTATATATATATATATTCATTTATATAATTGTGTATAATTGTGTATTTATATATCTAATTTATATACTGCATATACAGCATCTTTTGCCACGGCTGCGGCCACTCGCCTTCTTGTGCTCATCTGCCGGAAGGCCCTTCCTGAGAATCAGGCCCGCTCTTGAGGTGTCGGGGTGGGTCAGTCTTTCGATGAACGATTCCCACTGCCTTCACTTGCGATCAACATAGCTACTCCATGGCAAACCTGCCACGACTACCATCATGCTACTACGTGCCTCTTTAAGAAGCCTAAGAAATTTGTTTTGTTTTGGACGGTGTCAAGGAATCCAGCGCGGTCTTAGGTCTGAGGTAGGAGTAGGATTACCCATACATCTCCCATTGCCGCCCTAGATCATGCTTCCTCCACATCCCTGCTTATTGGTTCTGACGTGTTCTGACACTGGTCATCTGAAATTCAGACCCCCTTCAACACCAAGAACAGCGCCGGTCTCCGAGTTCCACCATGTTCCACCCGCCAGTGTCAATCGTGGGTTTGGGCGGCCTTTGTCCTGTACCAGTGGGGTGACTGGGACGGGGGTTGACCCAGTTTTTGATGCAGCATGAACCACATGATCCACATTGCTGGCAAGCTTCCAAACTAGTGTCAGCTTGTTGATCTCTTCCATCCCATCTGGCATGGAACTCGACTGACCCCTGGTCTGGTTCTGGCAAAAGGAAAATGCTGGAATAGTGAACATTAAGTCCTGCAAGCGGTGAAGATTTCAGCACACATTTCCCAATCTTCAGTGTCCACCTGACCTGTAGAATATAGGTCCTATTGTACTTGGGGAGGTGAACAAGCTAGCGTCCGTGACGGAGGCGGGAGTCGAACCCCGGGGTGGTGGAGTGGGGGGTTGGTCCCCCTCCCAAAACATTGCTAAAGCAAGAGAGACTCCAGCTAGCTGAGGCTAGCTTTCGTGATGAATGGCCTCTACATATTGAAGGATGCCGCATGGAACGCATCCAAACCAACTCATGTAAAGCGAAATAGCATGAAATAGCTATGTTGTCTGATCGTGTGATTGTTCCTGGGAGAGGTACCTGGCCAACCGTATAATTACACCGAACATAAGCTGCCCTTTCCTGCCGATAGTGGTCCAGAAAAAAGGATGTAGTTGTGCCGAAGAAAGCATGGCCTCCTAAGGGGATCTGAACCTACAGCCACCTACAGCCAGTTGAGCTGCTCGGTCATCCCTGTCCTTCACCCAAAGCACAGTTTCGGTGTACGTGTACTCGACCGGCAATGGAGGGACCTGACCGGCGAAATAGTCCCAGGGTGGGCGGGCGGTTGCAGCGATCATCTTAGAGTTCTGGGTAGCAAGTTCCCTGGGCAACAGCAATGCTGGATCTTGTTTCTTTTGAACGGTTCTGAATTGCATTCTATTGTTTCTTGGTGGAAACATGAACACAAAGCATCAAGTCCAGAACTCGAGCTGTCTATGGGACGGACGTTGGTTCACATTGGGATGGCGGTGTTCGGGTGAATTCTCGACGGTATGATTCATTCCTACTACGAATCACTTAGACATCTCGAATCTATATATGATGAATCTAGAGGTTTTACTACATGATGCAGCCAGCCTTTGGCAAAGAATACACCCATGTTTCTGTCGATCCAATTCTATCCTCAGGTCTGAACTGAGCCATCCAGAAACATCATGCACACCAGCTATGTGGGTGCAGTGTAAGGGAGTAGCAATCAAATTGGAAGGGATAAACAATTGTCAAGACTTATGCCGCTGCCGTGAGTTGACAAGTTGACAACCTTGACCAATCGAGCCGGAGCCGCATACTCTGAACTCATAGGTGGGCAATATGGAAACCAAAATGGTACCAAACATGATAACCAGTATATTAGTAGGTACATGTAGGTACTGTATCTATGTGCCATAGTGCCACAGGTAGACTCGCCCGCCAAAAATCTAGTCCACAACACTCCATGTGCCCAGCCACCCGACGTGGAGTTTGACGCGAGTTCGTGGTCCAGTGAAACAAACGAAATCACCCATCGAACGATGAATGAATCAGCTTACTGGCAAACACCAAGCATTCTGGCAGACTCCAAGCGTACCCAAGCGTTCCCAGACACTTCCAAAAACCTGACTCAAAAATAGGCCTCGCAGGCGTGATTTCTTGTCGAAACACATGAGCTCCAAGGTTTCCTGGCGCTGCCCACCATCCGGTCCAGAGCTTTGCGAAACGAGGAACATCTTCTGCTGGTGGGTGGGTGGTACCATCAACCGCGAACTCTAAGATCTTGGGGGTTCTACGGTCCACTGCACCCGGAGTGAAGAGTTGTCTCGCTCAGGGGTCCTTCATGCAAACCAGTGCGCCGTCGAAGCAGCTGAGGTAGAGCCCAAAGGTGTTGTCGGTCACACACTCAAGGAAGGTCACAGCAGCATGGAGTTCCCTCACCACAACATCCAGCTTGTAACGCTCTGAGAGGTCATTCAGCTCTTGGAACGTTCGTTGGTCCACTCTCTCCATCTCTCTCTCCTCCCTCCCTCTCTCTTTCTTTCTTTTGAAAAAAGGTCCCTCTCACTCTCTCCCTGCCTGCCTGGCGGTCTTCCTGCCTGCCTTCCTTCCTCGCTTGTTCTTGTTTTTTTTAATGATTGGACATGGTGCTTGCACATAGTGCTCGCTAAGTGTTCATAGAAATGCCTGGAAACGCCGAGGAGATTCTGTATTTATATAAATGAGTATATATATATAGAACACATAATGTGTTCGTAAAACATTCTACAAAACAAATTGAACACAAAATCAAGTCCTGCTGTTTGACCCTGTGAACTCTAGGTCCAACATGAAGATCTATCCGGTTCACGGCGTGGTCCAAGGTGTGCCGTGACATTTTGGAACAACACATAGTAACATATAACTGCAAGGAAAACAACACGGATTAATTATACACAAAAACATAGGCCATCTGGATGTGGCTCGACATGGAAGATCCAGGTTTTCAGCCATGTTGTTCAATTTGTTTTAGGAGCATCCTATTTTTGAGCCATGGCCCACCGGCTTTTGGCACCCGCTGACCCCACGGATGGCAGCGGCTCCCGCCGCGGAAACCGCCTTATCCCGTTGGCACACAAATTTCTCGCCCTGGCGCTTGTAAATGCCAGCCACGGCCTCCAAGGTTCGCGCTGAGCTGGGTGGATGGTATCGACATGTCATGTATTCAGCAAGCAAGGGCACTCAGGTCTGGAGCTGCAAGAAGCTGTTCATTCTTAGAAAATCTTAGAAAGATCTCTGAATTCATGAAGGCTCGAAGGATTCAACATCGTGCCAACGCAAGAGTGTCCTGTTTTTGCGACGGTCGCAAAAACGTGTTCATCGGTTCGGAAGCGCGGTGCCACTCCGGCGGCGGCAGTTTGGGTCACAACCCCGTCCAGCGATTCCAGGCTTTGTCACCGGAAACCAGGTGTCTGCGACGTCGACTGACTCTGCGGTCGTGAGCTATGAGAAAGTCACCTTGTTGACCAGGACCATCATGTTGCAGCAAAAGCTGACTTCAGTGCATGTCGTGTTTTGTTTGAACCAATTGAAATTCAAGAAATTGAGAACTCTCCAAAAGAAAGATCCTAAAGTTTTGGCATTGGGGTTCGTGCGAATGCACTGCTGACGTTCGGTTAATAATGCACTATCCTTTCTTCTCAAGGAGGCGTTACTTCGGTGGACCACTTTCAACCCAAAACGATATCTTGTAGTCGGAGGAACCACATATTGCGTGGGCTATCCTGCGTCCTACCTAGGAGTTTACCTCCTTACTTAATTAAGTAGGCACTTACTTAAAGTAAGGGCGGGCTCTTAAAATAGGGAACTTCGGTGGATGTGCTAGTGAGGTGTCCATGCCCACAAAGCTATTGACTGTGTCCATCGTCGTTCCAAGCTGCCCAAAACACGAGCGACAAAGCCGAGAACCCACTCCCGAAAGCTGCTATGGCATGCAATTTGAATGCTCCCAAGCCACGCTGGAACTCACCAGATCCAGCCAGTCTCGGTTCCATGGAAAGGCACTGCTTCGCGAGTCTCGCTGGGGTGGGGAGAGTGGTTTCCTCTGCGGACACTCCTTCGACAAGTCTCCAACCCTTGGCCTTCAGCTCGGGTGGTGAAAGGCGGCTCCCTGACCTCTGTTGGGGCAAAGATTGCTTGTCAAAGCCACAACCATTCCTCGTAGCTCTTGGTAGCCCATGCCGATGCTCCTTGTCCAAATGCCGAAGGTCTTGGAGTGGCTCCGAGGTCTTGTCCTTTTTGTTTCTTGCCATTTGGTGATGTTTTTTTCACACGGAACAAGTCCGAAACCAATTATCGCATGTACAGTTGGGCTGTCAAGCATAACGAGCACAACACAACCATATGTCTGTCTAGCTCGAGGGTGGAGCTGCTCAACAATGCCCTTGTGGAAGGAACTGAATTCACAAACATCTGCAGGCCAATGACACCTATGTCAATGACTCCTGCGCTGATCGGCCAAGTCTGCTTCAGTGAAGTTGCACCAAGTCTGCTCAAAATGGTCAGAAGTTTCTGGCTTGCTCAATTGTGGGGGCGTACCCTCGAAGTCGTGGGTCCTCACATGTCCTCACCCTGCTGCATGGGTCGGCAGTCATGGGTCATTTCCGGCCTCGGGGCCCACCACCGAGACGGCATAGACCTCCGCCTTACCCAGCGCCTGGAGAGCCGTATGAGCATGGCGAAAAGTCATGGTGACTGATGCATGATGATGCATACAATGTTTGTCTTTCTTTGTTTCATGTTTATTTTGTTTTTCTTTTCACCGGGAGCAAGGACGCTACTAGGGGCTCCTGGCATCGCTACTAGGAGCAAGAACGTTTACACAAATTGTCATGCCTCGTTTGGAGATCCCGCGGCCCCCAAACTCGCGGCCTCGCGCCCCGAGTTCGATCGGGCGCCTCCAAAAGCGCCGCATGCGCCACCGGCAAGGTCAACGGAGGCAAGGGCCTACCGAATCCGGGCGCAGTTACGGGTAGGTCTTCAAACGTCTTAAGATGAAGATTGATTGAACAAAACGCATACGAACCAACAAAAAACAAATCTGCAATCACTGCAATCATTGAATCATTGAAGAATCTAGGAAATTGCAAATGCAAATCAACAAAGATTAGGAGACCAGTTGGCCTTGGAATGCTGAGTTTTATATAAATTTCTATGAACCCACTCACGAAATAGCCACCTGCTCTTGAAACTTCCCATGAGGGCCAAAACAAATCAAGCCCCTAGACCGAATTGGGCACTGTTTCTTGCTCTAGGTGTTTCAGCGGATGCTTCGTGGACTGGAAACACATGGAAACACCACTGTGGGATTGGGATCAAGCCTGCTTCATGACTGGTTTGGATTGGGTATCTGCAGATATCTGAAGGCAAAAGCTTCTCTCCAGAATCAAGCCCTTTAAAGCCCAGCTGCAATCTCTCACTGGAGTTGGAGGGATCCTCTGCCCCCTCCCTCTTTAGCTCTTAGCTTAGGCTATGTTTACCCTGCTCCTGAAAACTGTCCTTGCCACCTTGGCAACAGTCTCTCACTATGTCCTGTAAGCCTTAGTCTAAAAGGATACATTGAAGTTGCATCTCAACTGCGATGTTACTTTAAAGAGGCACCTAACACCGCCTGTGTTACATCAATCTAAAAGTGACTGCTGGAGACACCACTGGGAACAGCCACCCAAGACTGACGCGAAATTGGAATGTGCCAGCTTGGAGGTTTCCCATAATCCCACTATGGCCCTGATCATGGTCTGACCTGACTTCCAAAACTCAGCTGCTCAGCTGCTTTCGCTGGACTTCAGGTGATTACCATGTTGAACAACCACTCTTTGAAAGACATGTTGCGCACTCGGGGGAACGACCCTCTTTCCTCCAAACTCCAAACCAAACGACTCGTCTGTCCACTAGAAACATTGATCCAAACATGCCCAAACTGGGTCAGCCTCATCGACTTGGCTTTCAGAAAGAGTGTTCCATCCTCCATCCTCCCCGCCTGCCGCGCAGGGCACCCCGGCCGAAGCCGCTGGCCGCGTGTTGGCACACCGGCTCCGAGCTTTCTGCGGACGCCGCAGGTCTATGCTTCGCACGTTGGAAACGGTCGTCATTTGGACGTTGTTCGTTCCGGCACAAAAAGTGACGCAGAGCATTCGCAACAAGAAGCATAACACCAAAATCACGCACGAGTGACATAAAACAAGGTGGAAGCAACAAACACCTGCACAAAGACTGTTTGTTCTGTTGCTGTATGGGCCTGCTGTAAGGGATTTATCCTAAGGATTGCCCCCCTGAGGAAAGAACAAGTTGTCTTTCGCAGAATCTGGGTACAGCATAGGTTTTTTGATGTGTGTTTTGCCCACTGGTTCGTTTTCATGTTTGGGGCATGTGGAGGGAGCGAGCAACAAATGGAAGAGTAGAACAGTGTTGTACGACGGCCAGTCATTTTCGATCAGCTACTTACTCAAAAGTTGTTTGCTCTCACAAAGTCAACAACAAAAAGATTGACATGGACATTTCTGGGAACAAACACACATGCAACTGTTCTGCCTCTTTGGATAGGAGGGACACCATGGGACACCCAACATGGCGAGCTTTCAATCCAAGGGCCCGCGCCCCAGCTGCGCTCCCAGAAGCTGCACTCCTCATGACTTTGTTGGATTCGTGTTGGCTTCCAGAAGTGGAAGAAAAACAGAAAACATCAGCTGAGGATCATGGAAACCTTTGTAAACCTTTGGGTTCTTGTGCTAGCAGCTAGCAGCAAAAGTCTTTGACAACCAGATCAGCTGTTGGGTTGAACAAGGTCTTTGAGGTCTAATGCATGGACCAGGAGAAGTGCCGGCTTTTCCGGGATGACCATCGGTCATCTTTCCCCGAAATGGTCATGAAGAAAATCAGCGAAACCATGATATTATCTGGCCATATATATATATATGTGTTTATTTGTTCAGTCCATTGCCTTAAGGAGAGTCCCCAATTAACGTTGGAGGTTCGCAACAACACTTGCGACATTCACGTTGTCAAGTTGTCAGCAAGCCACAACAAATTAAGAAAACACACAACTCGCCAAGCCTTTTCACCGCCAGCGCTCCTCCGTGTGGTAGCTCTCCTCCGCTAAAGCCATGCCAACCGTTTTCTCCAGGCCTGGTCCAGTTGGTTGGTGGGGTGCGGAGGGTGTCTGATCCGCACCCGTGGTTGTCCCTCATTTTTCGAAACGAACCTCAGCGCCAAAAGGCATTCACCAACGGCTTGTTGTATAGCTTTTGCAAATTGACTCATATCCCATGATTTGAGATCAATTCGGGTATATTGTTATATTTATTACATAATATATAATTACATATTTGTAAAATATAACTACATATATATATATATAAGAGGGCTTCGGATCTCTATTGACTCTATTGGTCGTTCCATTTGTTGTTCCGTTTCTGGTGACAAGAGCAGCTTCCAGCCTTGAAGTTGTAGTCCCACTGAAGTCAAGTCCGCACCCTGCGCGTGGCAAACATGCACTATTGCCTATTGCACCAAAGAAACAGCATGGGGTTCGGCTTTCCTGACAGGACTGCTTCTGAGGACTCTCCTCCATTGGTTCCAAGTTGTAGTGGTCATGGGGCCAACGAGGAGGGAAGGCTATTATAATCAAAAATCTCATGCACCCTGAACTGTCCGGCCTCCCTACATCGCTCGCACCGCACCTCCATGGAGAGTTCTTTCTGCTGCGCAGCGCGGAACACATCCAGCAAGACTTGGCAACGCAGGCCTTTCCGCAGCGAGTGAAGAAACAACTTGGATTTGGATAAGGGGAGGACGCTCACACGTTGCAAAGTCATAGTCATTCTGGAGCACATATGGTGAAATCCCAAACAATACAATGGGCTGCTGGAGTGAGATGATGTGCTGAGAGCTGAGAGCGGCATGTCTACTGTTTGGAGAAGGTTTGGATCAATGGGACGGAGAGTCAATCGGTGATGATCTCACTCCAATTCTTTGGCTCTTGGGGAATGTGTCTTCGAATTGGTTCATAGTACTGTTCACAGTCTATAATAATATTCCTGTATATTGTAGTGGTCCGATGAGACCCACCCCCGAAAAAGAGGCGTCCACTGAGTAAAGCCTACGACCTACTCAGTAGGGCGAGATGGTCCTCCAAAGCAAGTCGGTTTAGCTCGGGGAACGCGTGCTCTGAGGCAATGCAAATAGGGAACGCGCGTAGCACGCGGGTAGATGATGCTTCTGTGGGTCTACGCAATGTTTCGAAAGTGGACGACGACTGTACTACTGTCATCGAGAAAGGCAGCCAGTGTATGGGCCATGGGGTATTATGGGGTGAAAGGGGCGAGGCTGTGGCCCATGGACATGGGCATGCCCTATCTGATCCTATCTGTTTTTTTTTTTCCAGCCATACCTCGCGCCGACCTGGTCCGGACGGGCTTATTGCAAGGCGTTGGCACAGCCAAAGAACGGTAATCAAAAATCTCTGTTCAATGCGGCTGTTTCCTATCTGTTTTACAGTTGACAAATTACAAACTCCGCCACAACACCTCACCATCACAATCCTCTACCGACTCGTCTGCGATTGCGAACCAGAAGCCAAGGACCCTTCATCCGGACACCGAACCGGCCACTATGGCCTATCGACCGTTTGACGAACGTGAGTTCGCGGCCAACAGCAATTAGCGATTCGACCACGGCGGCCGTGAGCCTCCAGAACACGCCCAAGTGAACCAAAAGGCTACCTGGCGGACTTAAAGTTTGGCTGGTCTGTTCTGTGCCCAGCCACCAAACATTCCAACAAAGGTGAACCTGTGTGACCCTAATCCAACCCACCTGGAGCCTTGTCAAGGGTGTAAGAGGGTCCAATTTACGAAATACATCGAAATATGGCCGCGTTTTCGTGCAAAATACGGTGTGTAAGTGCCCAGTCGGATGTCCCGGACAGGATAAAATTTTTTTCGTTTCGAAGCCCAGTTTCGGTCATTTGCAACATGTGGGGCTGCGAAGGAATCCTCAATCCTTCAAATGGGGACATTCACCCATGGTGCCACACATGAACAAGGACGCTACTAGGAACAAGTGCATCGCTACTAGTAACAAGTGCCTTACTAGTAGTAACAAGAAGCTAGTAGAAACAATGTTCGCTACTAGGAACAAGTCCTTCAAATGGGGACATTCATCCATGGTGCCACACATCTACAAACAAACCAGGTGGTCGCACGTGAAACGTGCAATCGCGGTAAGAGATAAACCAGTAGCCTGGCTGTTCATGACACACATTGAATCATTGTCATACGTAACTTAATTGTAGAGAGCTTTCGTTGGATTTCTTGGAGGTTGACTTACCAAAGTTCTCAACCTCCACAAAAGGTTCCAACGATACAACTCCATACATGACTCATGTAAAGGTACGATGCTTGGAATATCTTGGAACCTCCTTCAACAAGAAAAAAACAGAGAAAAAACAAAAGAGCCTGAACAAAAACTGAGCGTCCATACATGTCCCATTGACAAATGAGCAAACGAGATCCTCCACCACCAAAGAAATCCAAAGAACCTACCACTTCAATGTATTCCAGCCAAACTACAGTAGCGGTAGTAGTAGTGATATCTCCGTTGAAGAACCATGCAGCGGGTGCTGTGAGTGATTTCATACAAGTCACTTACTTACATAAAGTGGTATGATGGGCTGACCAAAATGGAATGTCTCTAAGGTGCACCCTCTCCCCTGCTTGAGATTGAATTGTAGTAGGCAAAGATCCTGCAAAGATCCTGTACATCAAAACACTCATGAGGTTCAAATGTTATATAGATATATTTGTTCATTAGATATACTTGTTCATGCATCTAAATCTAAATTGTTTGCGCACTATATATTCTCTAGAGTTCTTTGATAGTTTCCCCTGTTACACCTTACCAAGTCTTCTATGTGTCCTTGAAGCCATGAAAATGGTTGAACAGCAAAAGTGAACACAGAATCTCTCAAACCTATATGCAGTGCAATCAACACCCATTTCCTCAACCAAATCAGGGGCCAACCCCCCACGACCAGAACATAAACCGTCTATTTATATATACCTGCCTTGACCCCTCTTCATTTCATAGAGAATTTCTTCATGGGGATGTAGTGATGATGTCACAGTAGTTAGATGCCACCAGGTAGAAACTCGATACTTTCAGTGTGAAAAGACCTTTACCCACTGAGTGGAGAGTATGAGATCCAACGTCCAACCTCTGTGGCATTCGCTGATACTCGCTGACCCCCGATGACCCGGCAAGGCGCTCCTGTCCGGACTCTTCAAAGAGTTTCTCTCCTTCACTTAGCTGAGAGACCTGAGTTTCTTCATGCGCAAAGGAGACCAACGCAGAACTTGGCAGTGTGTCCCTGAATGAATACCTGCAATAGAGCATGATTGAGAATCTTTTCTTATGCTTTCAGAGTTTGGCTTTGAATCGAAGGAAGCACATCCGTGGTTGACAACATGTTTTCATGCAAGTTGAGCGGAACGGGACCGGAACCGTTTGGATCCAATGGACTTGGCGTGGGGACGGGGACTTTGCAGTGATCTCCGCACTATTCAGGAGAATTTCCTGAATGGTTTTCTCGCAGATTCAGATTGACCCTCAACACTGAGATGCCAACCTCATCCAACCTCCTGTCGTTACTCTTCGAACTCTCAGATTCTGCCATCCAACAGCTGCAAACCCTCCAATTCCAACCGCCATTAACAGCCATTGATTCAATGGTCGGTTTGTACATGTTTGTATTTGTGCCAAACCACCAGACCGTTTTCCTTGGTACTTCCAGAATGCAAAACTGGTTCACCGGTTCACCTGCTTCCCAAAACGAAGAGTCATCAACCATAAGACTGGTACAGGAAGACTCACAAGCACCCTCTTTGCTGATCCCAGTCTCCATCAAATATCAATCTCAGATTCTCGACAACATCTCAGCTGGTTTCAAGACACACCATGCTTAGCGAAGGCGAACCCCCGTGCGTCTCGCATGAGGCGAGTTCCCTCCAAGAGCTCCGACGATGCGCCGCTGCATGGCTTCAGGCAGCCAGGTCTGGCACCAGCTTCGCGTCACACACACTTAGGATAGGGTGTACTGAACTGAAAGCGGTGCCACACGCCGGCCTAGGGTTCCATTTCCTAAGGGTACATGTATAAACCACTGGATCCTGGAGGTCTTCAAGAGGAAGTAGGGCCCAAAGGGAGAAAGACGAGCGACGAACCGACAAGATGACGTCGTGACGTGCAAGTCTGCGGAGCTCACTAGCACTTTACAAAAGGAAGAAGGGTGGCCACCAGCTGCGTCTTATAATGCGCGCAGGTGCACCAAGCAGGTACGTTTTCCACGACAGCTTGGATGGGTCTTCGTTGGCCCATGCCATCCAAGTGTCCATGGGCCCCCCTGCTCTGACAAAAGCCAACCGAACAAATCCAAAAGGATCCCTATGATTCCAAGGGTTACACACACACGCCTCCCCGAGGGGAGGCATCTCTTGCGCCTAGTAGTAAGGCCAGGAACCCCTAGAAGCACCAAAGTAGCGTCAAAGTAGTAAGGCCAGGAGCCCCTAGTAGCAACCCACACTAAGGTCCTGACGGGAGGGAGGGGTAGGGAGAGAAGAGAGAAAGAAAGAGAAGAAAGGAAAGGGGAAGAAGGTGTTCCCAGCTACGACACACGCGTCCAGGGACACACCAAAGGAAGAGAGGAAAAGGGTTCCCAGCTATGACGAAAGCATCCAGGGACACCCAAGGAAGAGGGTAAAGAGAGGAAAGAGAGAAGGAAAGAAAGAGAGAGGGAGAGAGAGGGAGAGGAGAGAAAGGAAGGTGTTCCCAGCTACGAACAATCGTCCAGGGACACACCAAAGAAAGAGAGGGGAGATCCTGAGTATTCCATTCAGGAAAACCCCAGAAAGCAAAGAAAGAAAGAAAGAAAGGGGAAGGGAAGGGGGAGGAGGGGGGACTAAGCTCGCGACAGGTTCCAAAGAACCTTGAACAGACTTCGGTCGCTGCGACCACGTACGGCTTGCCCAGGGGCTGCCACCTTTGACCGCTACGGTCACGTAAAGGCATGAGCCAACTTGGAATTCCAAAGATGAGACAAAAATCATCGTACGTACGGCCTAGGCCACCTACGCTCGCTGCGAGCTGCTCTGTATCCGGGCAATGGATACGTTCGACACCCGTTCGACGGGTCCACGGGAGGCACTCTGCGGGCTCATCCCGGGTTGGCACGAGGCCAAACACACTTAGGATAGGGTGTACTGAACTGAAAGCGGTGCCACACGCCGGCCTAGGGTTCCATTTCCTAAGGGTACATGTATAAACCACTGGATCCTGGAGGTCTTCAAGAGGAAGTAGGGCCCAAAGGGAGAAAGACGAGCGACGAACCGACAAGATGACGTCGTGACGTGCAAGTCTGCGGAGCTCACTAGCACTTTACAAAAGGAAGAAGGGTGGCCACCAGCTGCGTCTTATAATGCGCCCAGGTGCACCAAGCAGGTACGTTTTCACGACAGCTTGGATGGGTCTTCGTTGGCCCATGCCATCCAAGTGTCCATGGGCCCCCTGCTCTGACAAAAGCCAACCGAACAAATCCAAAAGGATCCCTATGATTCCAAGGGTTACACACACATGCCTGTGGGTCAAAACCAGGAGACCTTGGCTGCCCTACCACGAGACTTGGTCACACGATCGACAGGCCTCCAGATTTGACCCATCCTCACATTTGTATATAGGGGTTGATGACTAATGCTTGTTAGATCTTGTGGGTGTTGGAGGTCGATGGGGTCAGGACTGAAAAACGTTTTGGGTCAGTGTCCTGAAAATCGATGTTGGCCCAGTTCGGCCCTGACCTCAGCACGCAACAGGAGGCACTGTCTATGTTACCTAACACATTGACATTGCAAGTGGGCATTGTTCATCGTAGACGGTGTAGGATATTTGTTCAACGACAACATTGATGTAACTATGTGTAACACTATAGTACCAGCACAACACGTGCCCACCCTGAAAATGGACCATATCTCCCAAGCAGCGCAATGTTCCGTGCCTTCAGATTCCTCTTGCGCAGCAGCTGCCGGAGCTCTTCCTCTTGTGATGGCAGAGAGGCCGCCTGCGGCTACATATTGTGCTTGAGCGAGGAGGAAGAGGGGATTCCTGATTCCGATTCCCTCTGGTGCTTTTTTCTTGTTGAAGCACATGGTCTGTATGGGAGATGGCAGAACGGGCCCCAAACCCATTGTAGATGGTTGCCATCCGAAGCCCCGCCCCGACTTGGGTGGGTCAGGGAAGGCATATAGATTAGTTCCTGGATGTTCCTGTTAATTCACATAGTCTAACCAATTCCATCGCACAAGCCTGCAGTTTTGTGAACATTGTTTGGACATTGTCACAATGTCAAGGATCAAGAAACACACAAGAAACATGTTCCCTCTCACACATTGCTACTCCCCGACTCTTAGCCAAAGGATGGGTGAAAAAATTATGTTCTTTTAAACCTCTTGACTCTCCTTCGCTTTTTGGGGGGTCGAACGTGATTGGAATCAAACATGAACTTATAAAACATATTCATGTGTTATCTATGTTCTTGTTTTTTTGTGATGGCCTCCAACCTAATAGCAATGGCCTCAAACCTACTAGCGATGGCCTCCAACATGAACTTCTACACTCACTTCGACTACTGATTGCTATATAATTTATATATACTGCGGCTATGGTTTGGCGAGCATGGTGCTTCTGCTATACCCTGAATTAAAAGGGATGTTCCAAGAATCATGCAAATGCACCATTTAGATGGATCTGGTCAGCGCTAGTATTCCGGCAGGGGAGCCCAACAGAACAGCAGAACTTTCAATTAACAAGACGTTCTCCTACCTTGGCGGTTCTGCCTCTCTTGGCGATTGCTTCACCCCCCACCCAGGCTGATCTATCACTGCTCAGCAGTCTGGCACAGAGTCCCTCCCGGTGCCAGCTGGCCTTGATGCCCTGGATGAAGAAGCGCTCCAGGGTCTTTGGAAGCTCATCCTGGACACGAATCCCGTGCGAATTCGATTGAAGACTTGGAGTTTGGAGTAGTGCACCACGGTCGAGCTACAGGAGATGATAAGGATGAGGAGACATGAGGAATATGATGGAACAAAGGGAGAAGCAAAAGTCTGAAGGGACCCTTTTGTTTCATGTAAGTGTGTCATGTCTGAGCGGTGTAAAGTTTCAACATGAAAACCATTGAAATCAATATCCACTGATTCCACTGGTGAAACTTAGAAATTACAAGAATGCCACACACACAATAAACCTACCTGTTTTGTTGTTGAGTTCAGGGATATATATATATATATATACAACCTTGCTTCATTTAGCAATGCCACAAGCACCCCCAAAGTTACACAAACCGACAGGCCAACGGGGTATAGATGCCACATATTGATAGTCGTTGTTTATCACAATTTCAACACAGCACTTTGAAGGCCTCCCTTCAGCATTACATGGGCTCTCCTTTTCACCACCCCTCCGCCAAACACCGCAAACACCGCTGCCGCCAACTACTCAGCTCCGTTCGGCACCATCTGCCACGAGCCTCCTCCATGGAGAGCCAATGTCGCAGCCGAGCCACGGCAGTTTCAGGCCTCGTCTTTGCCCGTGCGTACTTGTGGTCCACGGGTCACTCTGAGCCCTACGAGCGAAGGAAAGGGGATGGGATAGGGGATCTGAAAGTTCCTTGAACATGTCCAAGTAATGAATATATGAAGAGAACAAAGTCCTGGACACACACACACAGTTTTTTGAGGTTCGGTTTGATCTATGGCGCCAGTGAACAGGATGCATCGGACATGGATGGATCTGCCATGGTCTGCCTCCCAAGAAGACCTTAATGTCATGACTATTGAAATCATGTAGAGAATCAGGAGCAAGGACGCTACTAGGGGCTCCTGACCTTACTACTAGGAGCAAGGACGCTACTAGGGGCTCCTGGCATTGCTACTAGGAGCAAGAACGCTGCTAGGTCAAGTCAGGTCGGTCATTCAGTCACTTGGGGATTGAATTCCGCACACACACACAAAAACAAATATAGAACATCAAATCAACGATTCGCACACATGGTTTCGCCACCAGGAAGAAAACAAGCTCTTATTAACTCTTATGGACAGTTCCTCACTGGAAGGCAGGTGGTCGGAAGAAACCTTCTGTTCCCACTAAGCGGTGGGTTGCGCTAAACAAACTGATCAAACAAGTCCAAGAAATGTGCGTGTAAATGCCTAATAACTGCCTATTGATATATGTGTATGTATGATTGTGCATGTATATACCGTATATTCAGTGTATATACTGTATATAACTTATATCGTATCAGTATATTTTATTACAATTTTAGGACATTCACACTGGGAGAATGTGTAGGTGTGATACACTGCCACTCAGTTTGAGGCATTCTCCAACGGCATGCCATCTCTGCTTGCCAGGAGGCATTCTTGCAAGCCACTCGTGCAGTTCTCGCAGCAATTTCCAGCCTCAGACGTTGACATGGTCCATCCGAAGGCAGTTTGCGTCGTCCCACGTCCGCCTCAGACGTTGATCCGTGTCGACCAGATCCAAACGGTGACGTCTTACCAAACAAAAGCCCAAAAATTCAATCGTGTGGGCTCTTTGAAGCCTAGACCCCGTGTCCGTTGTCCTTCAATCCGTGAGATCCTAACCAACCTGAGGTATCGTAAGGACCTTGTTTTGCTTCCTGCTGCTCGGTGTTCTTTCATCTCATTCCCCGTTGACTATCTATATAAATCTGCTTAAGGTGAAAAAGGAAACCAATCGGATCCAAAAGGAATACAGTAACAAACGGATACTCAGGGAAACTCGAAGTATCAGGGAAACTAGCAATGATTAATAGATATAAATCAAACGAATTGGGACGAAACGGAAAAACAAAACATCAAAGAGGAATCAAAAGGATGACCAAAGGGAATGAACAGGTTAATCCTATTGGCCCTTGGTGAATTGAACAATTTGTTGATACAGTGCAGTAGGTTTCAACACGGATATTCATACTAGTACCAACGATGTGGATTTTGGGGGAATCCAGGGAAGTTTGGAGTCAAATGGCTGAAAGCTAAAAGAAGAATTGGTCAAGAATGATCAACAAGAACTGACAATTAAAATCTAGTATATATAACATCGATATGTTTAAAACCAAAGGCTTTTGCAGGGCAAGTGTCAACGAAACGTCCTAAACACATGGTAGAGACTCTTTGATTATGGGGTGTTGATGTTCCACACTACACATTACTTCCAGGCGGCATCCTTCCAAAGACTACCTATCATCCCCACTCCAGTTCTGTTTTTGCTCCTCAATGTTCCTCCCGCAGCCTTCCGCACCGTTTCTCCGGCTTTTCGGCTTTTGGCCGGTGTTTTTGACACCCAGTCTGCGACCGGATGAAGACTGAAAGCGCCAAGCAGCAGTGATCATGCGGAAAGCGCTGGGACGCGTGCCCGAAGCTTTGTCCCAAGGAATCGACCAAGGCGCCTGGTGATTCGAACGACCGAGGGTGGAGAGGGAGGGACCGAGGATGCGGCCAGAACGATCTGCTCCCAAAGGTCTAGCGGCCGACGGATGGCTGCCATTCCCATGAAACATGTTGATGCGAGGGGTCGCCTTTAATGCAATAGTAGGCGTAATTTTTGAAACATGGTCGAGGTTGACCTGCTACAAAACGGACCAAACAAAGAAATCAACTTCATCCAACAACACCCAGACACCCCATGTATGGAATATACCAACATTGCCCTGAAACCACTCCAATGATTCGATCATTCAATGTAGATTATTCCATACATGGAGTGTTTGGGAAAGTCTTGCTCTGAACATCTCTGAACATCGCATAGCACGACAGCCAAGCGCAGCGCGCTGCCAGTGGCATGTTGGACCCTCTGAGAGTCCGCGCCAACCATTGCACGAGGGACCAAGGACTCCTCATCCAAGCTGGATAGGACCTGGCGAACGCGATGGTAAGGGACAGGGACAAGTCCGTCCCAATCTCACTGTCAACAAGACATGTAGCCCCAGCGGCAGAAGCACTACATCCCAACTAAACAATACTAAGCGATATTGGAAACGGTTTGTATCCATTCTAGGATGATACTCCAGGGTCCATTACTACCTTTTGCACCCTGGCTAATCATGGATCCACAAACCCAGGCTGGCATGGGTTTCAGCAAACTGAAAGGAGTTCCTTTATCAAAAGGACGTCCGATACTGTGCAGCAAGTGATCTGTGTAAGGACCCTGAAGAGATTCTACATCTACACATGGTGTCATTGATTTGATCAAAACAGGTCACATCTGCAGAGTTCCAAGGCTGGACCAACAGTTTGAAGTCCCATGCAGCCAACCTCAAAGATCATCTCAATCATCAGAGGTAAAAATGATCTTGTAATTTGAGCCAAACAAAAATAGAAAAACAACAAAAACTGTCTGTCACCTCAGGCCTCAGGCCAAGAACGTCATCAGGCCGCCTAATGATCTTCATGCGTCCTGCCCCCAATATGCTTTGACCTCCCCGCTTCAATCAACCTTACCATCATGGTGACCCGTCCTAGTTGACGCGCCTCAAACTGGTGCACGATGGGCAGCTTGTACCAGGACTGGCTGGCCGCCTCCAAGAGGATGTCTGACTGCCAAAAGTCCGCCAGCACCTCACTCAACTGCAGTTTACAGTACCCCAAGGGGCGCAAGCAGCGCAGGCAGCGGCGATCGTCATGGGGTGACGGCAGGTGAAACAGGGCCCAGGCCTATCCTTGGACCCATCCTCGGGCCCCCCGTCTGTCCAGCAAACCATATTTTGCTGCTGTGTTGCGAGGGGAGCTTTAGCTGACCACCTTCCACATAGATTCTGAATATGATGCCTTATGGCACAGTATCATTCACATTATGATTCACATTGCGGAATAATATTCTGGCATCTTGGTACGATTTGACTTCCAACATCTTCCAACCCATGTTTGATAGAACAGCTCGTTGGCACAGGAATCGCCAAGGATCTCTTGGTGAAAGCGTTGGGGGAGCTGTGGGAATGGCAATAAAAGAATGGCAAGATCCGTGGGAGGGGCAATGGCAGCCAATGCAGGAAATTATTCTAGGGGGTGGTCCAGATATCAAGAATCCCTTGGCACATGAGGAAGTGGACAGGGGAATGGCCAAGGACAGAGCTTGGGGCTGGTAGTGGGCAAAGGAATAGCCAAGCATATATAGATGCCCTCTTGGTGAAAGCTTGAATGTTTAGTTCTTTTCTTTCCTCTTGCACAAGTATTCCCAAATAAGTCTACACTCTATGGGTGGACCTCGACCCACTACCTTGGTCAAGTGAAAGATTCCATCAAGATTATTCCAAGATAGATTCTCCAGGAGGTGAGGCCACCACTGGAATCATTCATTGAGACACCCCTTTTTCTCCAAAGCCTACCTCGATTCACGCCCACAAGTTGTGGCACCCGGGTAGCCGTCGCCTGCGGTTTGTAACTCCAAACATCTCCAAGCGTTCCCGCAAGTCGTCACACCGTCCCAGCGCACATGTCGGTAAAGTCCCACCAAGTCCCACCATCTCGTGTACGCCTTGTCCTCCAAACACGTCCCAATCATTGCAAGGAATCAGATTCGGAATCCACTGACCAAAACCACACCAAATCAGTCCCAAAACGTACCAAACCCATCCAAAGTCCACCATCCCAAGTCCACCGTCCGGGCACCACGAGTTCGCCCAGGGAAGCGATGTCCACGTCGCAGTGTCCGGTGTAAAGGAACTCCACCACAGCGCGGATCACCTGGAGAGGTTGCTGCCGAGCATCAGGCTTCGAATCGGGGCGCCCGGACGGGTTCAGGGGTTGGGAGAAAACCAAACAAATCGAACACATTCGAACATCCTGGGTTTGAGGACGGATCGGTTGGTTGCACCGTGGGCATTGTGTTTTGTTCCACCTTGGAGTGATGTTTGTTGGATCCAAAATATTGCTCTTTCACTTGGGAGCTTCACCAAGAAGCTTGTTGTTCCCGTTTTTCTCGCCTTCATTGGCCAAATTGCCTCATGAAGACAACATCAACAAAATACTGACCTTTTAACACTTGATAATAAAGGTATGATCCGGAATACCGACCGATCCGGAAATAATACCTCTATGTAAATGTCGACCGATCCGGAATGCACACAGTACATAGAGGTTCCGCCTTGCCGTTGTGTGTGGACTGGATATCTTTCGACAGAACAGCAAATGCTGGAAGCCCAAATCACCGAAAACGCGCTAAAGGCGAAAGGCGAAAGACTGATTAGTTGTCGCCTTTGAAGGAACAATTGCTTGGTGATGATGCTCAGAAGTGACTTGGAATCCTACAACATCAAATACATTCAAACACTGCCCAGATTGGATGCTGCAGCTGCTGTCCCAGCTGCGTCGAGGCTCTGCGTCACTTTGAGGATTTTGTCGGAAGCATCGCTGAAGGCACCGTGAAACCTCAAATCTGAAGAGGTCCGGCGACCATCGAAAGCCCAAAAGCCCCCAAAAGGGCTGGTGTGCCAAATTCTTCGTGGATAGGCGGATAGGCTGGCTGTTGGTTTCATTGAGCTATTGCCACTTTCATGTCAAGCTTTGATTCTCCTAGACCTTGGTGATTCTGTCTGGCACTTCCTGTGGGCGACACAGTTTCCACTTCTGGCCCATCTCCAGCGCTTTCGTGGTCGTGCCCAGGAACTTGATCTGCAGCACATCGGAGAAGCTTGCCAAGACGGCCTCCGTGCCGGACAGCTGTTGGTGAGTTAGCTGTATCATGCTAGGTCTGTAGCCATATATGATGTGTTTATTTGCTTCAACCTCTTTCAACACTCCAGAAAGGACCATTCTATATACTGGTTCACAAAGTTAGGCTCAGTTGGGGGATGTCTCTGATTCAGGGGATTCTCTCAGGATCTCGACCCAACTCAAAGACTTGTAAACGTCCAAGACTAAGATCTATATGATTCTTTTAAAATATTGAACAGTGCTTCTGTTGAACCTAGGAGGGTGCAAGTGCCAGGGCACCCCTGAATTCACTGTGTATACCGACTGTATAGCTGCAGCATCATCCCGACAGGTTCAAGTATTAAATGATCATTTGAGTTCATTCGGTGAACTATAAACGTTTGCTGCTAGCCAAACTCTCCCTAACTCCCCGCAAGCAGAAATAAAAGTTGGATTTCATATATTTACCGTACCGTATATTTACCCGCCGCTAAGATATACAAGTACCCATGACACCCAAGCCTGCTACAAAGACCTATAGTTGATGAAAGAACTCTTGAGATGTTCAAGGACGACTCACGATTTACAGTTAAACATCTTTGGATTTCGACTCTCAACATTTACCGTGTCATCTCTGTGACCCATCAAGCCCTCCAGCAGGGCTCAGCTGCAGCACCTTGTGTGCGCCCACCCGCACGCGGCCGCAGACCAAGAACACGTCAGGCCAACAGGCTCCGCGTGTGTGCGACTGAGCAGCGGCCCGGGGTTGTGTGGGGACGATATATGCGCAGCATGCGGATCTCAGGTGGTAAAGAAGCACAATTCAAAGTGCCAGAAGCAAGGGAGAAGAGTAGGACAAGAGTAGGTCCCCAGTTTCACGAATAATCGCCCAGGGATTTGGTTTGTTATGGTTTGTTCATGCTTACTTACTGTTGCAAGGTGGTCTAAACCAATGCTTTATAAGTTTGCCTCAAACAGGAGATCCTCCTGGTTGACCCCAGGTAGAAGAAACAAACAGTTTTTGGGGGTCACTGATCACCCTTCTCTTGAGAGAAAGCGACATACTGCAAACAAGTATGGCCTTTGTTGATCATGCGAGGCTCACATGTACAAGTCGGTCCCGGGAGCGTGTCAAAGGCATATTCGGCATCCAGCTACAGTTGCCAGGCAAAGATGTGGCTTCAAGCGAGCCACTCGCGCAGAATTCTGTTGGTTTCACGACAATTCCCAACATATGGGATGCTCGTTAGCCTCGTTAGCCACATCGAAGATCGTTGAGTTGACTTTATAACTTATGTCTGGTTGCAGTGTTGGACTGTTGTGTTGCTTTTCTCTTGTGTCTCACCCGCAAATGTTCAGAGGGGAATCAAAGGGCAAACGATGGAAAACGACGAAACACAGAACTGGGAACGGGGCATCACTCACCAATTTTTTGGCTTTCCATGGTCGGACATGTGTGACAAACGGCCTGTGGGAACGGAATGGCAGCTCGTCTCATCAAACGGCTCGTGTCTGACAGATCTTGCTCTGACCTTCAGAGTGCGCTGGTTGACCTCATAGATGTTGATGTTCGAACATCTCCCCAATCAAAGGGGCAACAAGAAGTCTAATCAAAACTCGTCCACGGGGCCCAACAAAAAGACCGGATCTACTATAAGGCCGCCGCATTAGGCAGGCTCATCTGTTGATCACAGGGTGGGACCATCGGCGGATTGGTTCAAAAACCGGAATCGGCGGATCAATCACGGGCACCTTGACTGAAAACGATCCAAAAAACCAGTCCTGCCTCGAAGAGACTTCTTAAAACTCCAGTATCTACCTTCAAATCCTCACCACCTCAGCGGTAAGACGAAATTGGACTGGAAAGACGGAGGATATCAACATGTTCCAGCACAAACGCATAAGGTGCACATTAGTTCAACATCACAGAACAATTCTTGCAATTCAACCTTTGCTTCTTAAACAACGTGTTCCCTTCAACAATCCCAAGCAAAACAGGACACATCTCCTACAGTTCTTCCACATTCGTCCACTGTGTTTCCTAAAATCGGTCACCGGGTACCGCGGGGCTCACTGGTCACACAGCTCCGCTCTCACAGCGGCGGCTCAGCTCGCGGCAGCGGCCCAAAGACTTCACCACCTCTTTGGCCGCCTGAGACGAAGCTACGAACGGAACAAGAGGACGCTACTAGGAACAAGTGCCTCGCTTCTAGTAACAAGTGCCTTACTAGTAGTAACAAGAAAGCTACTACGGGCTCCTGGCATCGCTACTAGGAGCAAGAACAGTACTAGGGGCTCCTGGCCTCGCTACTAGGAACAAGAAAGCTACTGGGGGCTCCTGGCCTTACTACTAGGAACAAGAAAGCTACTGGGGGCTCCTGGCATCGCTACTAGGAGCAAGAAGCTACCAGTGGCTCCTGGCCATACTACTAACTAGGAGAAATCGTACTTCGAAGGCGAATGCAAACGACGATTCCCCAAACGCCGACTCCAAGTGGGCGAAAGCAGCACGCCAAGCAGCGCTGTGGTTTTAGGGTTTGGTCCTTGCATGAAACAGTTGAGTCAGCGTCCAACTGTTCGACTGAATCAAAATCCGGTCTACGGTTCCAGAAACACCCAATGCTGTCCATGTTCCAAACACTCGTACACCTGTCGATGTACACCTGTCACTCAGCCTCCAGGGCATGGCTGGAAGGCCAACTCTTGGACTTCAAGGTGACCTCGGGAGGCCAACTCGTTGCTTCGTTTTGGCCACTCTCCTGAGAGTCTTGAGCACGTCCAACAGATTTGATCCAACACAGTTTTGCTTCAATTTCCTCCTAGTCTATATAACTACCTCAAGCCTTCAAACAGATTCAAACAGCCGTTGAGCTGTAAACCCTCCGTGTAAGCATTGTTGTGATATGTTGTGATGACAACCTAGAGCAAAAGTACCTGCAACTTTTTGTAACTAATGGACTCCACTTGAAAGTGGCCAGCGAATCAAAGCAAATCTACTTGCTAAAGAATTTGTTCGTCTTCGGCGACATCGGGCGCAAAACACGCCGCTCCCAAGCAGCTCGGTCTGGGTCTCCATGCCCGCAATCCCAAGGAGCCCTCTGACTGCTCCTGAAGCAAAACCCATTGGCGGGAAGTCATCCCTCGGTCAACATGGGGCATCCCACAAAAGCGAACCCTTGGAAGGGAATCCTAAATTTTATAGTACTCTACAGCCTGTGACCAGGCTCAACGCGAGGCTCTGACACAGCCTGAGGTTTCGATGTCTCCAAAGTGACTTCCGCAAAGACCCAATGTTGTGCTGGGCCAGCTCCCCGCTCAAAAGTATGTTTTATACCTCAACCTCAAAGGAGTACGCTTCTGGACTCCTGGTTTTCTAAGGAATAGATGCATAGAAATTCCTTCTTCTATGCACAAAATTGTTTCAATGCTCCTAGCCCCGTGCAATTGAACCTTTTCAGAATGCTTACATTTCGCACTCAATTTGGTCATGCATGCTCTTGAGCATCAGTGATCAACCTCTTCGTGTCAGTTGCCAATCTCTTCGTTCATAGCTCTTCTGGCTAGATACATCTGTGAGAAAATCGTTCTAAGATTTGTCTTCCGGGCGTCTGCATTCAATGCGAATCGAACCAGGAAGTCAACCTCCATCTTAAAGTGGTGTGACAAATTCTGCCATGACAACGAAGGTTTGGTGACTCTAAACGCAAAGGTCTACAGGAAACATACATTGACGTCTGAAAACAAAAAAGAAAGGACATACAAACACACAATAAAGGGAGAGAGAGAGAGAGAGAAAAAAAAAAAATCAAAAAGAAGACCAAGAACATCTACAGTCCAAAGTGCAAAGGTTAAAACAAGGGTCACTCCCTGGGATCTCTACTAGTGTACTACAGTCACAGCGCCGTCCTTCTCGGCCGTTGTGGGCTGGATCGGCGGCTCGACATCTGCCTGGCGATGCGGGATGGATGCATCCACCGAAGCAGCGGGGAAACAGCTCATACAGTTGGAATCCTGTTGCGACAAACATGTTTTACATTTGTATTTGTATTCATTTCTTTACAACATATGAAAAACAACCGATCTTTACAGATCTAACGATATGTCCATCTCATTGTGGAGGAGGGAAGATGTGATTTTGAGACAAAGCCACAGGTAAGTCACAGATGGTTGCTGGTTGGCGACTTGAAGGAGCAACCGGAAAGAAGAAGATGCTCTGAAATCAAGGTGTCAGTCATGACAATCATGGATCGTGACTACATCTGCCTGCCCGCACTGGTCGGTTGAGTCAAAAGAAGGCAACAACTTTACGACATGACGAGAAACTGTTCCAATGACATCAAGATGTACTAACTACAGTATCACAACGTATCACAAAACTATTGCATCCGATTGCCAATGTTATGTGTACTCCATAGTCTATAGATGTCTATGGCATATAGTAGCCCCTTAGTAGACAAAATAGCGCCGTGGCAATACATGCAACACTGACAGCAACCTTGAACCCCCTGATCCCTCAGGAAAGCAAGCGAAACAAAAGGATACAAAAGGACTCTTTAGCACTCAAACGAAGCGCAAAACAGGTGCCGAACGGCGCCCGGTGCCCATGGCCAACACCGAAGATCCGCGATCGAACAGTTCCGCTGGAAACACCGACGTTAACTGTCACTATAGCATCAAAAGGGTTCCAAGCTGTACCAAACAGCCGTTTTCGCAACTCTCTGGCCTCAGGCACCTTGGTCTTACCAGCAAGTTGTGAGGCCTGGTCTTTAATATGAAGGACGCACACCGATTCTGTGAAGCTCATGCATATGGGTGTGTGAATTTTAATTCTTAGATAATATATATATATACAATTATTTATATATATATATACTATTAATATCTATTAATGGGTTACACCCATATCTCGATTCAGAAAGAATTCAAGAGTTCCGCTGTTCTAACTATGCGTCTCTGAGAATGGCAGTATTCAGAGATGGACACCATTCATATTTGTCAACTGTAATTCTCAATATATGACTGTCCCCATGGGATCGCGAGCATCTCTGTCCCAGATAGGTCAACAGTCGTGAGGCTGCCCTGTTAGCTACAACATGTCAAGCCAACGAAAATAGGAAGCGCACGCGGATCCGAGGGGAACGCCACTACTGTGGGAAAGCATGTGCATAATGAGCATCTCATCTCTTTCGTCAACATTACTATATTATAGTGCCAAGCTAAACATTTACGGAACTGTCTGGCCTCAGGGGCCTGCTTTGGCTTCTCTGCCCGCAAGGCCTGGCCAGGATGCATGGGAGAACCAGGACAAAAGGTGCTTCAAAGCAGCTCTGCCAAAATGCAAAGCCAAAACAAACAAACAAACAAACAAACAAACACACACTGAGTTTTGAACCCTGCTCATTGGGTCAGTCACGTGGTCCTTCCACCCCCAGGTGAGTTCGTTCCACTATGACACAGTGTTTTAGTTCTTTTGAAGAGCGGGGAAACAGCTGGTAAGGGATCCGGGTACAACTAATGAATGATCCGGGTCACTCTGGGAAAACTTCTCAAATCATGTCAGGTGACCGTTGACCTGAAGACCAAGCATATCAGACTTGGATCATTCAAACATGCTAAAAATTGTCGTGGCGCCTCAAACGCCGTGATGGCCGCTTCGACCTCCTGAAGGCTGAAAGTCTCCCCGCGGTAGCTCCGACCCTCTTTGGCCCAGCGCCGCAAGGTCGTGGCGCACCTCGGTTTTGCCGTTGTTCCAACGGGGCCAGCGAGAAACGAAAGGAAACCGTTGCGGTGAAGAAAACAAGGAAACAAAAACACTTCTCAAAACGGGGAAGTCGGACACCTTTGAAACGCACACAGGGAGAAAGCTCTGGGGTTAGCCTAGCCCCCTGCCCCGAAGTATGAAGTTGGTGATAGTCTCATGAAACAAATAATTGCCAAGGACTCATGTACAAAGTTTCAACGAGGAAACCCAAGGTCAACATTGCACTGCACCTCAGGAAAAATGATGTCCACAAACTCGCTCGGTTTCTTTTCATGGGCATTGTCTGAATGTAGATGGATGTTGAACTCTCCTCCTTAACCCTGCCTTCAGGGCCAAAAAAGCTGAGGCAAGAGTTTCTGGCCACAAATTGACCCCCAACAAAAACTAAAAAATCGACTTGATCAACATGGAATTGCATGTTCGACCCTCCCAACGAACGCTTTGCACAGCGAAATCAATGAACCGGCTTGACTCTGCATCGGTGGCACGTGGGTCCGCCCTGGGACAAGACCTGCTGCAGGATGCGACAGGCATCCGTGCGCAACGGAGAGGCCACTGAGCGGACCATAGAGGAAGGTGTGCGGCCACAGTGCTGGTATGAGAGGAAGAGTTTGCATTTTGTAGTTTCCTATATACATATAACATTACAGTATATATATAATATATACCATAAGCGATAATTGAGCTATTGGCTATTGGGTGGAAGATCCAACATAGCAGTTCGCAGCTTTCGGGGATGGTGAGGAGCTGCATCCAGCGATCTCTGGTGCTCTGGTGTCGCGTTCTCAATGTGAGCTTTGACGTGATTCTTCAGCTTTAGCCACGCTCATACTTACCGGTCGTATTGAGCTTGGATTGAATGTGTGTTTTTTCAAGTGATAAAACCCCCAATCTGTAGCAGCAGCATACTGGACGAGATCTTCTATAACTGGTTGGTGTTCCTGTTGCCTCTCTTGTTGTCCTCTGCTTGGTTGTCCTGAGTTCTTGAAATAGAGGCCTTGAGTAACAACATATCAATGATGCAATGCAATCATATTCCTGTTGTTGGTCTTGAGATTGTATACCATGGCACTGTTTATTGTCATGCGCTGATTTGGATCACCTGGCCATCTCAACAGTTTCCATCTCCTTAGGGCCAAGCAAGCCATCTAACCCAAGCCAGCACCAGCTGGTTTGAGCCGTGGGTTCAAACAGGCAAGCTGGTCAACAACAGGGTGGGGCGCGGTTCTGGCCTGGTGTGCTGCGACACTTACCTTCCCCAAACAACATCCGTGGGAGTTGCATTGGGTGTTCACATGTTCATTGGATCGCGTTCAATCATTCTTTGTATTTGATTGCATATGAATATGTTTGTTGTGGTTGCAAATAAATCGCATCATTGTTGCCGCAACATGTTTGACCAGGGTTTTCCATGTTGGGCCCCCACATGGGGTCGTTCCACGTCCTGGGTCTGGAGAGAGTCTCAAGCCACATGGTCATGTAGACTGTTGACAAATAAAACTAAGCTTCCTTTTACTGGTCGACCGTGGCTTGATCCCATATCGTGGATTTGGCTGAGCCACATTTACTCACAAAGGCCTAGCTGCAGTCTTCCAACATCAGCAAGGTGAAGCGTTATCTGGGATCGACAGGAGTCAGGCCATGCTCCCATGAATTGAATTGAGTATCAATTGAAATGATTTGAAATGGACAATTGTTACGTTTTGTCCATTGAATTCATGGTGCATAAATGGCCTGAACCTCGCGGTCCAGCATTCTGAACATGCATCCATCGGTGTCGAACCTGCCCTGCCCTGACAAATCACGCGGCGACGGAGGCACCAATCCCGCCATACTTGGTGGAAGCCTGCCAAAGAATTGGCAAAAAGGCTTCTGTTCAGCAAGGTCAATTGACATAGCGAATAGCGGCAGATCTGTTTTAATGCACTTTTTTTTGCCGGGATCAAATTATGGATACAGTCGACATACAAACTGTTTTCTACTTGTCTACAGGGCAACATGGTGGAATGTCCCCTGCACCAACTGCAAACGCTTGAAACCTTGCCGCCGGTTGTTGGGATAGAGACCTTGGCATCGTCGTCACGTCGTCCTCCGATCGTTGTCTGCATGCAGATCTGGAAGACTCACAGGAAATCGGTCGTCTTCCCCAAACCGCCCATAAATAGAAGTATCCAAGCAGCTCTCTGGGCCTCTCCAGGTAATCAATGATGGTAAAAAAGAGATGAAAAGAGCGCAAGCTTTAGACTGCTGTAGGTTGTTAAACTGATAAGCTGGATGCAGCTGAAGATCTGGACAACTCACAGATTCTGTTGGTGTTGCGGCCCGTAGGCCAGGCGGGTTGCGTGGTATGGAGCCACGGCCATAGCACTAAAGTGTCTCTCTTGATGTGTGTACACTGGATAGAGCCCGATGGGGCAGGGATGGGCAGGGCTTTTGTGTGGCTCTATTCCAATCGATTCCGAAGGACTCTTCCTCCATCTTCCTCCTGTCCTCCCACGGTCTCCCTTTTCGGACGATGCCATGTTTTGTTCTGCTCATCGGCGCTTGAAGAAGCCTGGCAGGAGGCAGCGGCAACCGAAGAGTCACCAACGACACCAGAATAGGATCCATGTTAGGGAGTTTACAACCTGTTTATTACATATCTGGTCATCACTTCTTCTTCCTAAGATACTTCTACCATCTCTCAAACAAGATGTCATCTCCAAAATCCATGTCAAACCATCTCTCATCTCCATCTGCTAAATCTTTGTCTCTCCATGTCGTCGTTCGCTTGTTCAGTTTCCCAAGCAGCCTTGCCGCTTCAGCTTCTACCTCTACTATGAACCATCCAGGAATCCAACAGCGGAATTCAACCACTTTAGACTCTCGACCCGTGGCATTGACGTGGCCAACGCAAACGAAAGCCTGGCCACCTTCTAAAAAAGTGTCTGTCAATGTGTATATAATATTACACTATTGAATACAATATTAATCAATATTAGATTGATATATAGTTATATAATTTAATATAGTCATTTGGAACACCCTCAACCAGCAGGTATCCGCCCGTGCCGCACACACTGGCCAGGTCAAAAGCCGAAACACCTCACCAGCTTCGATCAAAGGCCAAAAGCCCTGGCTCGATCCAGCCTGGCACGTCTAGCACGTCAGCAAGAGAGAGAGAGAGAGAGAGAGAGAAAGAGAGAGAGAGAGAGACAGAGATGAAGAGGGCTGGACATCAAATGGATCAACAGTGTACATGGTTCTGTATCTCAAAATCGCAAGGATAAACGCAAACATGTTGCGGGCTTTTGAGCTCCGCACCACACACATACACAAACACCCAGTGGCCGTCAGACCCCTGTTCAATTCTGATACTGTACATGTTGAAAAATTGTTTTGCACCATCTCATTTGTGTGACATACAATGATGTTACTAAGACTTCAGTAATCTGCCAAGGTAGTCTCAATGTATTGAGGGGGGGCCTACAGTCCACCTATCAATACATTCCCTGGTGGGCAGGGATTGTGTAATTATAGACCTTTGGGAGAGGAACCATGAAGTGTTTTGGACGGAGTCTTCAAGTTGTCAAGGGACCTGTCCCATTCCCATCTAGTACATGTAGCTGCCATGTCGGTGTGGAAAGTCACATGTTCATTAGAAGACACCAACCTCACTGAGTTGTTGTTGTTGTTGTTGCTGCCTTTTTGTGCAGCAAGCGCCCGGTCGTTCTGTTTGCTGCTAAGTGCCCTATCTGTCCTGTCCCACAGTACAAACATTAGAGATCCCACTGTGGGACAAAAGTTCACTGCTTTCCAGATGCCTTGTCTCAGTTCTTTTCAACATTTTTCAACCTAGAGGTCGAAATAGATCTGGTCCCATGGAAGAGATCATTTGACTCATGAACAAAGAACGCCTTTATGACTTCCATGAATTGTCAACCTTACCGTATTACCGGACAATTCAAGCCTGTGTGTATCAGGCACTTTGCATGCCGAGAGTTGCAATTCCTGGACACACACACACACACACCTGGAGTTGATCAACAAACAACAGCTGAACATGGCAGGAAAACAACACATTCTGTCGTTGGATCTGGTTTGCCAACTCCATGAACACCATGAACAATATCACAGTCTCGCAAACGCTACCATACGGTAAAATCTGGTTGGTTCAACGCAACGCAAAGCCAGTTCCCCCAAGCAGGAAACCAAGTGGTTGCTTCACCTGATGCTTGGACCAATTGATGGCACGGTGTGGGCTGGGATTATGGAAATACTTCTAGTATCATCGGTAATCTGTACAATCCCAGAATCTGTAATCTGTAATACTTCTAGATACTTCTAGTATCTGATATCTTCTGTGCAATTGGCCACAATTGTTCAGGGGGTACTCATGTCGGCACTCGTGTGGCTCCGTTTCGGCACTTGCGCGACCCATCGGACCGCGAAAGACCTCCGGGCTCGATCTCGGCGCGGTGCTTCTGCATCACAACCTGAGGCTCTTCAGGTCGGGATCTGATTACGACAATCAAGGGTTGTGTGACCAACAAACTCCTAAACGACCAAAAGGCACACTTTAGACTCATCCCACTTCTTCCATTCACCCAGGGCACCAAATTGGTCTCCAGTGCTAAAACCCCACCCACCACCCGAAAAACCCGGCGACACACACCAAGGCGCTAGCTGGGTCGGCTCACCAAAGGCGCGCGCCCAGGTCTGAGAGCCCAGGAAGTCCGCCGGTGACTCGGCATCGGTGATCAAGCGATAGAGGCACTTGCCTCGATCGGAGGGCGCGCGACCGACCGAAGCGCGTGCCCGACCGAAGTCAGCGGGTCAGGTCAGAACTGGCCGGCGAATGGGTGGAGCACGATGGGTGGAGAACTGGCATGCCGAGACGAGATGGGGAGGGGATTGATTACACAATCTTATTAGATATCTTATTAATAAGTTGCTCTAGAAGATTCATGACTCATGATGCTTTCGGTGTTTTGTTCCTGTTCCAAGCTGTATGTCAAGATTGTGCATGATCCCTTTCTGCTGCATCTGTTGACACCGAATCTTAGGATATCCGAAAATATCGTGATGGCTTTAGATGAGGGGTATCTGGCAGGAGAGCAACAGCGCAGGGAATAGTTAGTCCGTCGATAACTACCAACTCAGGGAGTAGACTTCGTCTTGAAAGAACAAGGAACCCCAATAATTGGTTTAAAACCCGTGATTTCCAAGTCGATACAAGTGCCCAGTGCATTCAAGATGGACTGGACTTGTAATGGAGTAAGTCTTTTTGATTGTTTTTTGCTCAGAATCCTCGTGGATCCTGGGTACCGTCCGCGAATCCTCGGAAAGGCAGTGGAAGAGTTGCTCACCCTCAGGATTCGGCCCTCAAATGGAAACGGTAACATCTCGCTATATATCTATATTTATTTATATCTATTTTATGTATATATTATATATTAATGTATACGTTTTGAGATGTTCTGAGAGCAATACCAAGTAAACTTCATGGCTAATCGTCATGGATCACCGGTGGATCGCATGAAAAACGCTCCTCGAGCTCAGCCACTGTCTGCATCACATCTGGTCCATGCCGCATGCCAACATCTCTTGTTGGCACTCGTCGTTCTTGGCTTGTGGGTGTATTGAAGTAGGGAGGCCCCCAGTGTCCCCGGAAGAAGGAATGTAGACAAAAGCCCATTCGTTGGAGGTTGATGCATATGTCACATTGGTCGAATCATTCACCACTCAATCTCCTGCTCAGTCAGCAATGCACATCCCTTGGCAAAAAAAACTATCATTTGACTGTTAGCAACATGGGTAGCATGCCACCAAAACCAAACCAACCAACACCCTATGCATCCCTGTGCCTATGGCGACATGGTTCTCTGCAGGTTTTGTGGACTATGTTGATTCAAACTTACATGATCCAACCTTCACCTTTATGCCTCGACGGACACCGAGGACGCCGGCGTATCCCCCGCCTTGGGAACCGCTAATTTCCCATCCGCCGTTCTCACTCTCCGACTTCCTGAAAGATCGGGCGGAAGTGAGATTCGGGTGAGGTTGTTACTACTAGTAAGGCACTTGTTCCTAGTAGCTTCTTGTTACTACTACAGTAGATGGACCAAATATTCAAACCCATGTATCAATAACCGTCGCCAACCCCTGACCCCAAAGGTCAATGTTGAACATAGCTTGATTGAATTTGTGTTTCCAGGGTTTGATTTGTTTCGTCCATTCGCCGAAACATTCTTGCAAGACCTCTAACATTGAGCTTTGGGGTAGAAGGGGTCCACGTGGTTGAAAGGGTTTGAATATTTCGTCCATCTACGGTACTGGGTGTGGACGGCGACCGGAGACCTCACACGCGTGTGTTGTTTTCAAGTGATGCCGGGCGGTTCCAGCTACTGTTCTTACTGTTGCCATGTGCTGTGTCTGTTCCCAGTGCCTTTCCAGTGCCTTTTCCAGTGCCTTTTGCACTTTCTCGTGGCCCTGCCAGCAAAAAAGTGTTTCTGGTACGTTTTGTTGAAACAAAAAGATAAGCTATCTCTTTTTAGCAAAAAAGTGAGTCACATGGCAAAATCACTGGCAGGCGCACACAAACCGTGAAAAGGCAATGGAAAAGGCACTGGAAAGGCACTGGGAACAGACACGGCACATGGCAACAGTAAGAACAGTAGCTGGAACTGCTCTTCATCTGGCTTGCTTTCCTGACGTCTGCTGTCCTCGCTCGCAACGTGTCGATGTGAAAATGTTGTTGAGCACAGAAGATTAAAACACAGAGTACTACGGATGAAGATGTTAGACTTGATACTTACGAGCCAAAAATACGCAAACGTCACACCTTTAGACAGTACTGGGTGTGGACGGCGACCGGAGACCTCACATGCGTGTGTTGTTTTCAAGTGATGCCGGGCGGTTCCAGCTACTGTTCTTACTGTTGCCATGCGCTGTGTCTGTTCCCAGTCCCTTTCCAGTGCCTTTTCCAGTGCCTTTTGCACTTTCTCGTGGCCCTGCCAGCAAAAAAGTGTTTCTGGTACGTTTTGTTGAAGCAAAAAGATAAGCTATCTCTTTTTAGCAAAAAAGTGAGTCACATGGCAAAATCACTGGCAGGCGCACACAAACCGTGAAAAGGCAATGGAAAAGGCACTGGAAAAGGCACTGGAAAGGCACTGGGAACAGACACGGCACATGGCAACAGTAAGAACAGTAGCTGGAACTGCTCTTCATCTGGCTTGCTTTCCTGACGTCTGCTGTCCTCGCTCGCAACGTGTCGATGTGAAAAGGTTGTTGAGCACAGAAGATTAAAACACAGAGTACTACGGATGAAGATGTTAGACTTGATACTTACGAGCCAAAAATACGCAAACGTCACACCTTTAGACAGTAGATGGACCAAATATTCAAACCCATGTATCAATAACCGTCGCCAACCCCTGACCCCCAAAGGTCAATGTTGAACATAGCTTGATTGAATTTGTGTTTCCAGGGTTTGATTTGTTTCGTCCATTCGCCGAAACATTCTTGCAAGACCTCTAACATTGAGCTTTGGGGTAGAAGGGGTCCACGTGGTTGAAAGGGTTTGAATATTTCGTCCATCTACGGTAGTAAGGCACTTGTTACTACTAGTAAGGCACTTGTTCCTAGTAGCTTCAGTAAGGCACTTGTTACTACTAGTAAGGCACTTGTTCCTAGTAGCTTCTTGTTACTACTAGTAAGGCACTTGTTACTACT